CTATTTTAACGATTATTCATAATTAGTAATTATGAGATAAATGTAAGTTTATTAGATTTATTACACATGTATCGAACCGTTCAAGGCGACAATATTGAAGTAGCAACATTGTGATTGCATCTTCACAAAGAGCTCTCTTTAACGATCAAAGTGGAAAAATAGTAAGTAGTTTAATACTTAATAGTTCAATTTTGCTTAATCATCTATCATATATGCAAAATTAGGCATGCGATTAAGTAGATTCGTCGCGATAGCGCGAGTGAAGGACGATTATGCACTATTCTGAGAAAACGCGCAATTCGCGTTCGGAAATTTGCAAGGAGGGAGAAGGAATCACGGTGTTTCAATGCAAAACATACCGCGATGTTTTAATGACATGTCCGGTAAACAAGGCATCGCGATCGAAGAATGATTTAGCGTAATTCTGATGAGATCATTGATTTTTTTCCATTTAACTCCTTCAATTTCCGTAATGATTTCTAACAATAAGATTCCTAATAATGCGTCTGTATTTTACCGCGTAAGAAAAAATCCATTAAATTCGGGAGATATTATATATATTAAGTTATATAAGAGGATGCTTTGTTCACTTCAAGTTCCTTCAGTATATTTCCTAGGAGATATTTATTTATTATTTGAAAAAACATATTTTATTTTAACTTACTTAAGATTCTCGAATGAGAATATTAAACAATATATATTAACTATTTATAAATAAGCCAACACAGCATATTTTATTTTTACACAGCTTGCGTTTACGCAAATTTTACGCGATATATGCGAGCGAAAATAATTTGTTTCGCTTAAGGCAATAGATAATTTATATGTATTATTATTAATTATTGATATACTACATGGAAAAGTTTTATTACTTAAATCATATCGCATGTATTTTGCGCATGACATTTATAAATTGTACTTCATAGTCAGTTGTCTAGTCTGATCAATCACTCTCGCGATTTATTATTAGCAACGCAAAAATGTGGCGTGCAATTGATCTAATCTAAAGGAAAATCGTTCATAATCATTCGGATTAAATAGATCTTTCTAATTTACATTTAACGATCGATAAAATATCTTTTCTAATAATTGCTTTTTCGATTTATTTCTACATTTCATATGATATTGGATATTTATTCGATTTTTATATAATTTTCTGCATTTCATATGATATTGGATATTTATTCGATTTTTATATAATAATATTTAGTTACATTCAAATTTATCAATCAAGTCATATTAATTTTGAGATATGGATATGAATGCTGATATAATAAAAACTAGGAAAGATTGATTAATCCGGTAGCGGTTAAATTTAAGATTTGTAATAATTATCATTGTCATAACATATATATCGCGTTTTATTGTGCATAATAAATATTTAATATCGAAATCCGTATAATTTTGACATTGAAATTTTGGAGAGGATATCTCAATTCTATCAAATCGATCATGAATTAATCACAAACTCTTGTAGTAAAAAATATCAGAATAATAAAAGATAAAAGTTCGGTAAATAATAATGTTAAGAATATAAACAATACATTCGTACATGCTAATATACTCAAAATACATCTTGCATAGTGTTTATATTGATATTTGTAGTACAAGTTGATAACTAACTGAATAAATATCTTTGTATTTTCTAATGTTAAGCCTCATTTCAATCGACAATCCATCATTCTAAATAAATAATATTTCCTTCATTCTCTAATTATAAGGTCATAAGATAGTGATAATAGAAATTGTAAATGCTGAGCTATGCAAATAACACTTATTTAACGTAATTTTAAAAAGAATAATTTAATATAATAATTTAATATAAATTTGAAGATAAAATAAACTGATTTATTAATCAACAAATTGATTTATTAGTCAATTTAAATAAATTTATTATACAATTAATCAAACAAACTTGCTTATTATATATTTTAATTTTAAGCTATTATTTAATATACAAAACTTATGAAAAAGACTTTAAATCAAATTTTTACTAGAGAAATACTTGACAAATGTTCGAAAAATTTATCATTAAAACGCGTCGAATTAATATATTATGATTTAATATATTACGATACAACAAAAAAATATGTTATAAAACATAATAATATAACGATAAAAAAATGAATAATCACATGTCATGATATGTGAGTATGGTTGACTTATAATTCTTTTACGATTACTTGTTTCAATTAAATCTCTTTTTCTAAATCATAGGTCATACTTATTATTATGATTTTGAAACGTTATAAAAATTATTCACTTTACTTTATTTTATTTTATTTAAATTTACTTTTATGCCTGAAAGTTTTACACTTCATGGACGATAGTTAAATAACAACAAGTTATTTTTCGCAATTTTACAAACAAATTTTAAATTTTAATTCAAGGTGAGAATTGTTGTGAGACTCTTCGGCTTGTCATAAATTCATAAAATTTAATTACATCGCGTCTCCGGAAGACTCGTAAAATAAATTTTACACGACAATCATAGTTTCGCATCTAATTTAAGTATATGCGAGTGAGGGAAATATTAATAATAAAACAAGTATAGCAATAAATCGCGCGAGAAAAGAGTCTATTGAAGAAATGAACTTAAAGTTTAAGTAAACTTTAAGTTCAACTTTTCGACTTTTATTTACTTTTAAGAATTTAAATATTATTTATGTTAAGAAACCGAGACACGAACTTACGCAAAAAATTCAGAATTCATTAAAAAAAAATTCTGCCGGCGTACGTTCGAAGAATATTCCTGTTGCGATTATTCGGAGAGATAATTAATAGTATGTCGGCGAGAAGAATAGCGATAGAATGATGGGTTAGCGATACGCGATTAAAGAGCGCATTCTTTCTGAGCGTAATAATGAATTAACAACTCGTAAATACGCATCGCCGATCGTCGCAATAATGCGACGATCATCGAGGTACAATTTCTCGAACGCATAACATTAACGGCAGATGCTAATCGCGCGCACGGAAGCCGCCGTTGCAAATTATAGCCGAGAACATTATAATTGTCGACGCATAGAAAATGAGGCACGTCAACAAAGCCACGGAATGCAAAAATTTCCGTTCTGTTCAATTCGCTTATTTCCGTTTACACCTCAAGCCGAGGTTATTTCATTGACTAAATATAATCTTTCCATTTTTTAGAAACATTTCGAAATTTGGAGGTGAAAATAAAATAAAAAAAAAACACAAAATTTTAATTTAATGAACAAAAATATAAATAAAATGAGCAATTTGTAATTTTTTTAAAATAACAATTAGCATTATTTATATAAAATGTAATACTCAAAGAAAGAATAAAATTCTTCATTATATTTATCGCATTTTTAAAAGTCTGAATATAATAAAATAAAGAATATATATTTTAATATTTGCAAAATGTGAAATAAAATAATCAAGCCGTATTTTTTTGCGCAATAAATATTATAACTACCGATAATTAGAACGTAAAACGTAATACCATATCTTTCGTATTGTAACTCGCCAGTTTTGCTCGAAAATGACCGGTAATAATCTTATTTAAAAAGTTCAAAAATATAAGATACATAAAGACAATTAAAAAACACATCTGACTTCTCTATGAAAATTTTAAGAATATAATAATTACTTACGTATTCTAATGTGACTAATTTATGTATTGAAAATCTGTTATTTATTATTCAATTTATTATCAAGATTTCATTTTGAAAGACAAAGAACAAAATTATACTAACAATAAATTATATTAAACAATTTTCGAATATACAGTTTGGACATTTTCACTTTCTTTTCGTGAGTCGCAATCTATTGAGGGCGATTTAAAGCGATGTAAAATTAAAGGCGTATAGAACAGATACAGCTATACTTTTCTGTCGATAAAATAGGGAATTCATTGCAATATAATGTAATAAATAATTAAAATAGCAAAAGAATGTTGAAATTTCATTCTATTGATTTAGAAAAAGTGTAATTTATTTATAATATAAATAAAAATACGGAACATTTTATAATATTGCCATGTCTCGTAATGAATAATATGTAACTATAAAGAATTTTTATTAAAATTATAATAAAAAAAATTATAAAGAAAAATTATTGAGAAATTCAAATTACTTGAGAGAGAAAGAGAGAGAATATTGTATTTTGCGTAATATACATATTAATAGAAATATCTAGAAATTTCATTCAATGTGTCATAACAATTGCAAGAATTAAGGATTCTAGTAAAATTATAGTAAATTGCATTACAGTGACATTATCGTATATTAGGATTTCCCCACAGAAATTAATTAAACGAAGAATTATCTTGTGATCCCTTTCTCGGGACACGATGACACGCGATATGATATATTATTTATTTTTTTTAGGTTTCATAATTGTATAACGATATGCAGAGAAGCGATACGACGTTAAATAATTTTTGCAAGGTATTTCTGTAACAAAAATACGCCTTTTGTTTTGATATAGTTACGTATATAATCGATTTCCGTGGGAGTAATAAATAATACTTTTCTGCAGGAAAATCGAATAAAACGTATATTAAAGTTCTGTCAGCTGTTAGCTATAGATAAGTAAAATTCATATCTGTGAGTTCGTATTAATTTAAATATACAAATATATTTTATTTTATGTATTTTATTTTATTTTATATTTTAATACATATAAAAAGGTAATATTGAAAAGTTTTAATAGATTTTTTAAGTTCATAGATTAGATTAAAACTTAGTCATATGTGAAAGCGTAATACAAGATAATTTCAGAATTTAGATTTATGAATAATAACATTTTTTCATAATACATTATTTTGCAGAACGTGACTTACATAAAATAAAAATTGAAGGTAATAAAAAATAAAATAATTTATATAAAGAATTGTTAAATTTAAATTATAAAAAATTTTTTAATATATATTATTTATTTTCCCCCTTTTGATAATTATGTCTTCTTCTCTTTTTATGTTTAAAAATAGATAGATCTAAAATATATATAAAATTAAGCAAAATTGTACTTACGCTGATATCGTTCAAAATTAAATCCTTGCTCTCCTTCCTTAGGTACCGATGGTGCATGACGCTGTATTCGGTCATTTTCCACGTACCCTTCAGGAAACACCGTGGAGACATTCATCCCGCCAGGTTTCTGGAATTTAAGGATTTAATACAGATCATTAATAACACGTAATTCCCCTGAATCAGCAGTTCTTGAACAGTTCTCCTCATCTTTTTCCAATTTTTCCAAATAACAAACATTATTCGATTCTCAGGATAAGCATTTCTTATTTTCACAAAAATTGAAACAGACATTTTGGAATGTAAAAACTTGTAAATATTAGTTATTACTATCTTTTAATCTTGTATGGCATTATACCAATTGTCCAATCCTGCGATTCATGATATTCAGATTGCTGTTCATATTGCGATGCGAAACGTTGCACGGATATGAACAATACATTATTGATGCAAACAAAAGTATAAAAATGATACAAATAATTAACAAGATAATTTGTTTTTAGATTTATCACGTATAATTGAAATTTTGAAGTTTTTTATAGGTTTAATAAGGCGATAAAAATGACGATCTGAAGGCGATAAAAATGACGATCTATTTCGTTAAGTCTTTCACTACGCAACTGCATTCTTTATCGAGGTCTCGATCGCGTATTAGGATAGTTGCTAATTCCTCGTCAAATTCGACATATTAACACCTTTGTCAACCTTGAATCATGATTCATGCTAGTTCGATGAGAAGATCGAAGGATTTTTTATAATAAAGAGAAAAAAAAATAAATTATAATTAAAAGAAAAATAATTTTTTTTGATCTACCATATTAATTTAATGTCTGTCATCTTTTATTTTTAAAGAGATGTATTGCAATAAAATAAAATACTGTGAGTTATTTTATCCTCTCTTTTTCGCAATTAATAAATTATTGCAATCATTAAAACAATTTGCGAAATTAATTAATGTAAAAATTAAATATAAATTAATGTAAAGTATTGTATTTAATTAATAATAAAAATTGGAGAAATTTTTTGTGGAGTCTTTGCAATATATCTTTATTCCATTTTATTGTCATACAAAATAACTATTATCCGTATTCAACTGATTTTAGAGTTCATTAGTTACTTGATGAAAATCTAATTAACGTGTGTCTTCTAGTTCGAAAATTTTCGTGTCCATCATAAAATATACGAAAAATAGAGGATCAAATATTTGCATATATGTGTAAATCTTAAAAATTGCACAAATTGCAGTAAAAATTTGCATAAGCAGCTGTCAGGAGACTTTCTTCGCCTTATTTTATAGTGACTTCATGCGGTTAAAGATAATCGAGCGTATATATTCGCGACAAATTCTGGCTCATGATTCAAGTACGATGATAAGAGGCCTTCTGTATTGCTCTTATCTTTGCATCATAATTATCTCGGTAACGTCACAGCTTGCGAAAGCGGTGTTCGAACAAAAGAGCGTAACTTATCTTTCGTTTGCGAAAGTAATGAAAATCGCGCCCGACTGCGCAACAATAAAAACTGATAAAAGCAATATTTTATACGTCAAGATACGAGATAAGTCATATTTATAATTACACACACAGCGGTAAACATGTGTAATTATAAATATATGTGTAATTGCAAATTTTATATCTCTTTATTATCGAAATTATAATTGACGATACCGAATGGTGAGAATTCTGTTTCATTTAGTTTTTCAAACACGCTCATGTCAAAAAATATTTAAATATCATATTCTTTAAAACGAGAAAATAAAATTATTTTTATAAATTTGACTTATTTGAAAAATTAAATTCCTAAGATTTTATTCGTAATTATTTATAATATTTTAAAGTTACTTGTAAAATTAAAGGCTAAAATTTAAAAGAAAAACTCTGCTTGTTTTAGAAAATTTAGAATTGTTATTAAAAAAAGGCACAAATTTTCAGAAATAATTTTCAGAAATAATTTTTATATTTATACTCATAATATACGCTTAAAAATGACAGACTTGAATATTATAGATTTTTTTTTATTTGTCACACGCGACAATATCGATCGTCAATTTCAAGAATCGCATTTACAAATCATGATCACCAACTTTTGAAGAATTAATGAGAAAGAGAAGAGATTCACCCCCGGACGACGATTCAAACCGAGCTTCTTGGTGGCTGTGTTGAAGACGAGAAACTCGCGCCACAGGTTCAAGTAGGAGTTCCTCTCACCAGGACGTGGCATCCTCGTGATGGCCAGGCTCTGCAGTTTGCAAGCCACGACCTGCCACTCTCGGCCATCAACCCGCCACCAAGACTTTTTGGATCACCCTCGCATCCTGCAAGCGACAGGACTGACCTCGCGAAACGATGACCAGTGGACGGTCACTGGGAAGGTCCGCCACGATTTACCCCCATCGTTCCAACGAGGGTGATGGTGGTGGTAGCGATGCATATGACGACCTTGGCAGCAACCTCGTCGAGTTGCGTGACGTGATGCTTCTGCTCGCAATGTTCCGGTTGTATCGGTCTACTTACGTCGTCCTCGATACTGTTGTTGTTGTCACACAATCAATCCAATGAAATCAAGCCGAGCAAATAGCTGATAAAATCGAGAACCGAGGAAATCATCGTTGAATGTTTGAAGCGAAGTGACTATATTCTTGAGTTAATGTTGAGTGATGGATTCCTAGTTCAAATAAAGATTTCTGCGAAATTATTACAATCTTTTATAATTAAATAAATTATATAATTTCGTTTTTTTTCTTCTTACAATCTTTTCAATTCTATGTTTTTTCTCTACTTCTCTTCTATCCTCTCTTCTCTTGCTCTCTTGCTTTTTTTCCTTTATTTTGCCCTTTTTTTATGATTATTAAAAAAATCCAGATGAGATTTGATAAACTTAAATATATTTGCTCCTCTTTTTATCTCCTTTAACTTTCATATAATTCACCACTTCACATAAGACCTTTGGCCTTTGACATAAATCTTCGACCGTATTAAACACAGTGGGCACTGCCAAGGCCGTTGATAAGATTCCGTTAGTGAGATTTTACGCCGGGAATCTCTGACCGAGGACTTCCGGTCAACGTCTACAACGACCAATTATTCTCGCAGCTTACTTACAATTAGATCTCGCCTGCGATATTACTTACAATTGGGTCGAAAATTTTATGAGATTCTCGCGTTGTTAATAATACGGAAGCAACTTCTTCAAACAAAGCTAAAGATTATATTTACCTTGAATTTTATACACAAAATACTTTCTTGATATCATATATCACTATATCTTGATAATTATTATAGAAACATCTTAATTGATCTGCTTTAATCATTAATTATTATTATAACATAATTTAATTTAGCGCGTCATAAAATTGTAATTAAACTCAATTTAATTTGATCTAATTTCACATATGGGATTACATCATCTTTTTTCGAAACTATCAATTTAATCTGCTTCATATCTTTTAAGTGGCAAAAATAATTAATTGAATAATTTACAATATTACAAAGTACTAATGTCAAAATATTTAATTAGTTATTATCGTAATGTAATTTAATTGAGTGCTATTAAATTAATTTCATTCAATTTAATCTAATTTCACGCACATCTTCTTCCCAAATTACCGATTTTATCCACTTCATAGTATTTTTTAAATGATGGAAATTAATTAACTAAATAATTTTTTATCAAGCTACGTTAAAATTTTATTATTTCGTGGAATTCATGATTAAAAAGCCAACCGGATGATTTGCTGTTAAGTTATTTGTTATTTCAAATTCCTCGATCCTCCTCCATCTCGACACAATCCCTCCGAGCGTTCTATTTCGCAGTAGTTAACTGATATTACAACGATGGTGAGCTCGCGTGCAGATAAAACCGCGACAATTAGCATACGTGAGGTCAGCTGATAGACATTATGAACAAGGAGGAAACGTCATATCTGCAGTTTCTTGCACTCGCCCACCCGTAACGATCGACTTGCGACGTTTAACGCTGTAGGATATTATTCGCATAATCGCATATGTATCAATTTATTAAAAGTGAAATGTATTAGTCTCATCTCCAGAAAGAATTTTAGGTATTCGCTAAAATTCGCTAAAATTGATTTATTATATCGATTTTCAGAAACAATTTTGGAGATAGTTCCTATCTTTCGCAAAAGAATTTAAATCGAAGCGTAATTATATAAGAAAATATATTTAAAACATATAGAAAAAAAACAAAAAGAATCATAAGAAAGATAAATATAAAAGTTGTTAAAATTAAATTATAATATTAAAAAATTATTAAAAATATTAACAAAAAAATTTAATAACATAAAAATATTGATTTTTTTAATTAATAATGCAAATTAAATTCTTGCAAATTCTGAAACTATAACATTATTTAGAATTTTCGATATCATAAAGTATCTATGTGAAAATGTTTTAGTTACATATGTTTGTGGAATTATTCCTGTATATTTTAGAGTCTTTTAACAGTTATTAAATGCTTTTCTAAACATTTTAATAAAATTTAAACCCATCTATATCGCTTCTCTTAAAATATTATTTTAAAAAATATGTAAAATTATTGGAAAAACAAATCTCTCCCTGTATCGCTCTAATTGGACAAATTATTTTTAAAATTAATTATGACTTCTTATGATGTTGCAATTTAGAAAGAATAATTGCATATCGATCTATCGATTATGCGAGTTTATTAATTGAGAGAGAAAACGAAAATTGATATATGCTTGAATGTCTGGTTTTCTTCCGGCCGTCTCTCCTCTCGAAATTTGACATGAAGCAGTGCCTGAAACTGTTTCTCGTATTAATTTGCATCTGCATCAAATGAGTTTACGTATCTAAATTAGGAACACGATTTAATGAAATCATTGAATTTCAAAATAAAAAAGTTTCTAAATAAAAAGTTTCTAAATACAAATACGAAAAAAATAAGTGTTATACAAAATATATAATCTATAAATTTCCAGTTCACTAAATGTTTAATGGAAAAATAATATATATGTCATAAATTTATTTATAAATAAAAAAACAGCCATGAATATAAGAATATCGAAACTTTTTTAGATCATGTATAACACTTTGTCTTTTAAATATAAAATTTACCTTTAATCTATTAATCTATTTAAATGTAAAATTTAATTATTACAATAAAATATTATTATAATATAAATATTCCATAATTTTGAACATTTTATAAATGGCAAATTGCAATATGATCAAATCTCCATTAACGAAAAAATGTCAATCGTGCACATTAACGATATTACAATATTACGATATTACGATATTACGATATTACGTTATTACGATTAGGATAACTTCTTTTATCGAGCCGACCGAATCTAGAGACCAAAATAATGGGACGAGGTCAAATAAAAAAGGAAAAGAAAACTGTTCATTTATGTTATTGACACTAATAAAATTGTCAATAGTGCGTAACGATCTACGTTATGATAATCACGATTTTTTAATCGTCTTGTCCTCTATTCTTGTTAATTATTATATTTTATTAATATTCAATATTGTAAACCTGTTTTCTTAAATCATATTTACAAATATTAACATTATTTATTTATATTTATATTCATATTAATTCTTTCGTTATATTATTATTTATTTTATTATTTAAATATTTATATAGTTTTAATTTTTTTTTCACGTGTTAAAACTTAATACTTTTTTTCTTTTTAAATGTTTCATTATAATGGATATTTAAATAGATAATTTTAACTACTAAATAGATTATATAAAAAATACTAATATATATGAAAACGTTGATATGCGTCTCATGCATATTTTTAGACAAAAAGACAAAACGGTGAAGTAGTTGAAATAGCAAGTTGCGGTCACGTGAAAAGAGCAGTAATAACTTGGTGATGACAATCCTATTGTGTCGCTACGTGAAATAAATATGCTCAGACTCGGAGAATGCGAAATGATTCATTGGCTTTTGACGGGATAGATCAGAATTGTCTCTATGTCGTTGAACTCGCGTATTATTCAATATAATGTGTTAAAAAGAATTTTACAAAATTCGAGTATATTATATTTATTTTATTTTAATTTACTATATTACATTTATAATAAACGTTTATTTTTAGACAACTAATTTAGAACCTCATGATAAATGAACTTTTCATAGTTGTTTAGAAACATTTTTATAATTAATTAATTTAAGGAAATTATTATATAAATTTTTCTTTAAATTTTAATAAGTTTTTATGATATTTTTATATTTAATTCTTTCTCTTCCTTAAAAAATTCCTTAAAAAGTCTTGTCTATTCTAAATTATCTATTTTTATGTTTCTCTTATAATTATTTTCTTTATGAATATATATTGTTTATTATATTATATTCGTTCTTTTGTCTTTAATAAAATTTTTCAACATTTTCTTACTGTTCTTCTTATTTATTAATTTTATCTTATTAATCGTTCCTCTCGATGAAATGCATGCAATTTTGCACAATAAATATGCACACCTATACCTCTAAATCGCGATTCAATATCCGGATAACAACGCGACCAAGAGCTCAGTTATTTTTCCAATGAAAATAATTATTCAACAGTAAGACTCTCCTCTATGTCGTAATATTTGCACTTGCAGTTCTAAGCATATTGCTACTCGTTGTTACACAATTACGAGCATGTGGCATAATTATAGTTCTATTCTAAACGAAACGCGACTAGAAGAACACTTTGTCCGAAGCCATCATTACTCCATTCGTTTTATAGTTAATTGGCTTATTACTAGTAACCTTGTAAAATATATATTAAAATGATAATAGATAAAATATGATAAAATACATATTTCATTGCTATAATATTGTATAATATTATTATGTGTGTGCACAAAAAATGTATATAATTTTTTTGTTTTTTTTATTAAGGATTTTTAATTTTTATTATTCACAGTTATATTTATTATTCATAATTATTAAGGTAGATATTTAAAAATTGCAAAAATAATTTTACAAATTTTTATTAGAAGAGTGTCGTAAATATTTTATAAATTTATTGTGCAATAATATAAAATTATTATGTGCGTTTAATATCCAATAATTTTATAGTATTTACATTTTACCTGCATGCGTTCAGATATGCACGAATGCGAGATTCATCATCGTTGGATACAGGGATGATTATGCGTGATGAATCGCGTTTCGAGTTACACGAATTGATCGAACGACTACTTAACATTTTCTCGCGTCATTTGCTTCCGCCTTCGCATTTTTCGAATGTCGTCTATTACCATGTTTGTACGCCAATTGCCATGATGGCACTCGACTTACGTGCATGATTGGTTTAACAAGTTAAAAAGAAGATTATGCAAGATGGCAGGGCCAATATTTCACGTTTAAAGATATTAACGCGCAATTACCGCCGAATCTTCATATTTATGTTTTACGCAAATTATACAGCAGATTAAATTTAGGAAAGACTCTAAACTCAAATACATTGAGAATTAAAGATAAAAAGAATTTGTAACCAAACAACAAAAAGAAATTTTAAAATATATAAATTTAAGAATTAAAATATATAAAATATATAAAATATATAAAATATATAAAATATATATATATATATATATTAAAATATATAAAATTAAGAATAAATTATATGTTTGTGTAATAAACAAAATAAAAGCTAAATAAGAAAATAACATTAAAACAAGAGAAATAAATAAATAAGTACAAAGCAGATCAATTTTAAATAAAAAAATAAATAAAAATCATTAAAATAAAAATAAAAATATGTATAAAAGAATTATTTTGTTACTGTCATAAACTAAAATTATCTTATACAAATTTAAAAATATTTAATTTAAATCGAGGTAAAAAAAATTTAAATAAATGAAAGAAGAATTATAAATCGTGAAGCGTTTAATCGTAAAGGTGAAGGCTAAAATGAATTCACCGTCTTTAGAGTAGTCGCTGTTGCGGTTAGACGATTCCCCCTTCGTTATGCATCGTGTGCTCTGCAAAGAAGTACCGTTGAAACCGTACTTTCCTTTTCCTACCAGGAAATAGCTATTTCCGATTAAACGCTTCGGAAAAACTGCAATTGAAAGAAATTCGAAGAGAAAAACTGTTCGCTAGAAAAACTGCATCGCTATGCTTTTCTCGTATTTGATTATTATAAGTTATTTTTATAGATTATTAAAACAAACTTTGTCGATTTACATATCTGTGTAAAAATAATATTGTAAAATTTGAAATAAAATGATCCTCAGACGATCCTTATTCAAGCGATAAACGAATCGCCAACGAGTTTCTTATTTCCTTTCTAGCTTTCTAAAACAATCGCATTTCACAAAGAATGGAGAGAAAGATTACAACAGACCAAAAGTAGTACGTTGGAAGCAAATTCAAGCAAACATATATCCTTTTTTAAGTAGTTTTTAAAAAATTTAAGTATTTTTATGATAATTTGGAAAAGTGTAAATACGTTTTAGATAGTTTAAAATATATACATTTTTTTGAAATTTTAATCTTGCGATAATTTTATTTATTAGATTTAAATTAAAATTGAAATCCTTAACTGCGATCTTTTTAATGTTGTATATTCTGAAAATTACTTACAATTTTCTCAATCTAATTACGAAAAAAAAAAAATTGTAAATTTAAATAGGTTTTTCGACTTTTTAATTATTTAGAGAAAAAGAAGAAAAAATAATTAACTTTTTTTTATTCGATTTATAAAAAATTTGAATGTGTTTTTTCTTGTAATATTTTTTTAAATTCTTATAATTCTACAAAAGTTTTAGTTGTTACTCTTTGAACGCCAATTTTTTAGATTTAAACTTTCTATAAGATCTCATAATCACACGTGTATTTATTCAAAATTAAAACGTTAATGTCAAAGATGTATTCATCATTAATCTCTTATCAATGGCATATTTTAAAATTTAAGCCATTCTCGTATAAGGTTTGACATTTATTAAAATATCCGCGTATATTCCACACATGAATTCATTCACGTTGTTTACGCGTCTGCATTCGCTACTTTAACCGCGATATCCCTTCTACTTTGATGTCAGCCAGCCAGCCGGTAGAGTACCAGAACAGATATCTACCTACGTGAGGCCCGACCGGCCCGAGAGCTTCATTTGCGACAGTTGTCGTTCGGTCGCTCTCAAGGAATCATCTCGGCTCTATCGTGAACCGACTCCACTCGAAAGATTTTTAGAAAAACCCTTCAAAAGTATTCGAAAGAATCTCAAACGATTCTCGAATAACACTCGAAGAAAATTTATTTAATAACTTTTAACGAACTGGCAAGCCTTTGTCAAGGGACTATCAAACGATTCTGAAGAAACTTTTAGGAGCTCGTGAGCAGCTGTTGATAGAATTAGAAGAAAGGATTTAGTGTAAACATCAGTTACGAAATTTCGGGGTGAGTTCTATTTGCATCATTATTATTCTCATTTATTTAAAAAAATATATATATTATATTTATTTATTTACTTATTATTTATTTATTTACTTCTTTATTTATTATTTATTTAAATTTAAATTTAGTAATACATAATAAAAAATAATAGAATAACCGATTGTCAAAATTGAAAACACAATATTTACTATAATAAAATTACTCAGTTACTTAAAAAATGTATAAAATAGTAAGATTTATTGGAAAAGCTTAATGGACATGTGGGGAGGGTTTTCAATCAAAGAAACATGTGTAGACTATCTTTGTTAAAAGGTTGAAATGCAATCGCGCTGCATTAGACGCGGAACCGAGCTTTTATGATTCGAATCAGGCTAGCAATTTAACGTGAGATGCATACGAGATGCGTATACAAATCGCGATCATTTTTAGTAGATACGTGACATTCGTGCAAACATTTTAACTATTTTTGTCTTTATCGCGCACTGTTTTTGCGGAAGCTAAAATGCGAAATGATTTATCATTGCTCCCGTTTATTATTTCTATCGATATACGATATGAATAAACATGCGTTACAATGTTCGATGACATTTAAAACATAATTAATAAGGTCCTAATTTTTTTAAAGAAAATATTATACATATATCGAAAGATAAATAGAAATTGTTATTAAAATTATTTTATTCTTTGTAAAATCTTATTTTATGAAATAATTAATTAAATAAAATATTCAGGCTTAGTCATATAACAATTATTAATATATAAATTGTATCTTAGAAATAAATGAGATTAAATTCAAATAATAAATTAGATTGAAAGATGCAAATAACAAAAAAATATAAAAAAAGGTAAGAATAAAATAAAATTTGTATAATAAAATTAAATAACATACAATAATGATTAAATTAAATGAAATATTTAATTTAAATTTTTTAAATTTAACTAAGGTTAATATTTAAGAGTTTAGAATTTAAATATGATTCGAAAATATTTTATAATTTAATAAAATTAAATTATATATTTATGGGACAAAAAATTTAAAATTAAAATCAAACTAACAATAAGTCAAATTAAATCTTTGATGATTAAAGATACATTGAAAAAGTTATTGGTTTATAAAGTGGAACGAATGGATTGCCAGTCCGACATGGTTGAGCGATCCTTTAAAGGGATCGAGAAGAAGTCGTACGGTGTCCATCTGAGAAAAATAAAATAAGTGGAGGAGAAAAATTCTAAGAGACCATATAGGGATAACGATCTCTCTAACGGTCGGCGATAAATCGTCGAGAATCTAACCGGCGATTTATGCTTCCGAATCGACCGGTCTTCGCTTTCACGGAATGATCGACGACAATCGTAGAGAAGCAAAGTGGGATTCTCAGGTGATATCCAAAGGGAGGGGGTTTTATTACCGCCAGGTGGAACGCCGATATCGATAATCGCGTCGCGAAAGACGACCTTATTTTCTTTGTTGTTAAATGCAAGTAAGACAATAGAAAAAAAAGAAAACTTATGAAAAAGAACAAAATAAACGAAAACGCGTTTTAATAAAAATTCAAAGTTTCGTGCCAATTTACAGTTCATTCGTGTTATACCATTTTTAATTGTTGAGAAAATAATTAACGCTTTATACAGGAATAAATTTTGAATATCTTATCGCGAATTTTGAATATTTTGTCGATTAACATTCCATATGGACACAACAGAAAGTTGAAATTTTTAATTAAATAATTATAATCATATTATGATTAAACATAAATATTACTCGAATTAAAAAAATCATCATCAGATATTTATAAAATATTAAAATTATATGTATATATCAACATATAATTTTAATATTTTATAAATATTTGATGATATATACATATACATACTAAATAAAGAAATAATACGTAAAATATATGATAAGAAAAATATATGAATAATAATATAACGCAAAACGATATTACGTAAATTAAATAAATAAGAGCACGTTTGCGCTTTTGAAATTAGAATATTTTACCAGATTTTCAGAGAAATTTATCAAGTAGTCCTCTTCTCGATTCATGTGTTCTCATAAGCATTTCGTAATAGGTATCTAACGCATAGAGATTGCCACAGCAAATAATAAATAATTGTTTAAAACATTAGCGGATACGTTCTTTTCAACAACAATCGTGAAATCTTATTTGTAATCTTATTAGCACTTGCATTTGTAAAATTAATGCCGGAATCATGTTAAAAGCCATCAGATAAATGGAAGCAAAGGTAAATAAACGATGGAAATAAAGATTGGAGGCCGTACTTTCGCAGAATTTCCCGACGGTATCATACGTCGCCCGCTATATTAATGTGCGAACATTACCGCTTTTACGATCCCGTGAAATTGTCGACCAAGCGGAATTCATTAATTTAGCGAATTACACCACATGAGCGAAATGCATAAATAGTCACAGAAAGTTCCATATATAAAACTTTAAAGAATTTCAAAAACAGAAAATTCCACAAAACTTTAAAGAATTTCGAAAACAAGTACACCATTTTTGGTTGAAGAAAATTAATTTGAAAATTGATGTCGAAGCATCTGTTTTTAAAATGCCGAATTCTGAAACATCCTATATATGAAAAAATTTTATTATAAAAATATAATTTGCTAGAAACATTGTGCATAAATTATATTAATATTAATCAACTCTTGTGATTATAGAAATAACATTAATATTTTATGATATATGACATACCCATAAAATGAAAAAAATATTTAAATTAATAAATTTTATTACTATCCACAAATTTTGTACAAATATTTCTTAAATAAAATTAATGTTATAATAAATCCCACAAAAATGATGTTCGACCTTAAAATTCCATGTCCCTAATTTAAGCTTCATTGCTGTTTACAATCCAAATATTCGCGAAAATACTGAGGGGCTGAGAAAACATAATATCGATCATGCGAATCGCATAAACGCACCAACAAATAAATCCGGTTCCTTTAATATCTACGTGATTTCGTAACGGTGCGATTTAGCAAATCGGTCTCATAAACGACAAATAGTTTTATGACACATATACGGACGGATGCGAAGGAGGAACAATCTTAAGCTGTGACATCATCTGTAGGATCCGATCATCTCGTCTTACGACTTTAGTAACGACGATCACATAATTATGTAATCCACCTGCCAGATGATATTTTTTGGAAAAAGGAATTGATTGTTCCTGATGCAATTTTGCTGCTTTTAAATATTAAAAGAGGAAATATATATTAGATAGATATTAAAAAAAAAAGCATGAGAACGAAGAGGAGAAATTAACATCTGAAAAATATGTGTAAAACAAAATAAAGTTTCTCTTCAGAATAAATTTAATTAAGATATGATTCAAATATACGTTTGTGATTTTATTTTATATATAATATTAAAGAAAACGCGTCGCATTTTCGCTGCTCAATGAATATTTATTGATAAAAAAGATATTTCATTAGCAGCAAGCAATAAATTTATTTTTATTTCGCAAAAGTAAAAATAAAATTTATTGCTTGCTGATAATGAAATATTTCTTTCCATGTGTTTTCATCACAGAAAAGCTTAATCTGTCTTAATTAAAGCGCGTAGGTGATCATCAACGAGCTTTAGAGCGATTAAGTAATTCGAGACGAGGATGTGACGATCTGCATACGTAATGCAGGTTGTCGAAGCTCTTTCGTCGCGGCTGTGCTCGTAAAATGTGTCCTCGATCTAGATCCGCTAGTCGTTGATCGACAAAACCGCTAAATATCGCTAAGGAAGTGTTACACAAGACGTTAGAAGAAAAGGCCATCAAATTTTATACGAGCGTATAAAAGAAGAACAAAAACACATCCTACACAGAATATCTTTCTTTCGTAAAGAAGATAGTAAATTAAATATCTTTTCATCTATGAAAAAAAAAAAATTATCTCAACTTTTACCTTTTGGAAAATCTGCAAATAGCAATTATATATTTTAATAAAAATTATTCTTTTATAATATAAAAATAGTATATGTTGTGTATCAATTTTTTAATTTTAAAATATTTATTATTTCCTCTATTGTATTAAAGGTCTTTAGTTGTTTTGTTGTTAGAGACAATTTTATATATATTGTATTTTATATATATTTCTTTTTATTATCTCTTTTTCTCTTTCTCTCTCTCTCTCTCTCATTTTATTTTCTTTTCTCTGTATTTTATTTTTGATTTATTTTCTACTTAAATATCTTGAATTTTTCTCGCAGATGGTGAATCTAAAAAGCGCTCTGGGCGCTGACGAGCTTACCGACAAGAAGGCCGGACTTCCACGTGGTCTTTTGGCAGAATTTCTTGGCACCCTGTTCCTCAACTTCTTCGGTTGTGGTGCCGTGGTAACTGACAATGTTGTCGCTATCGGTCTGGCTTTCGGTTTGGTGGTAGCGAGTGCAATTCAGGGGATAGGTCACGTTTCCGGTGGTCACGTCAATCCGGCAGTCACTTGTGGTCTCATCATCATCGGCAAGGTAAAGTGATACATATAATGATGATACATAAACACGTTGTATTATAATTTAATTTTTTAAAATTTTAATTTATATTTATATTTTATGCAAATAAATTCTTATCATTATCAAAATAATAACTGATTTTTATACATGACTTATAATTCATTAAAATATGTTTATAACTCGTTAAAAATAAATTATATAATTTAATATAATAAAAAACTATCGAAATTTTCCCTCGGTTTTCTATTGTTCTTTATTGCTATTATTTATTTCTAATTTGTTTAAAAGTTCGTTTGAATATTATTCTGTTTAGAACCTTTGGAATATTTTATATCGCTCTAATCCAATGTATATAAATCATATGTAAACCGAGAATCAGTTATATTTTACTCCACAAATGAAATTTATACTCATCCGAGAAATTCAATATCACGCAATGAAAATTGATCATCTACAAAGAAGTGGAACTGTAAATAAAAAAAATCGACGATCATTCTCTGATCTTGAATTAATTAAACAAATTACGAATTAATATAACAATCACTTTTCAATATCAATCAATGTTTTCAACGCCAATCTTTGAACTTTGATCGAGTACTTATTACACTAATTCCATCGTTCAATTATCTTGATGTCTGTTCAAGTTTTTTCTTGCCTAAATAATTCTATTATCCTAATAAAATTCTAATTTTTACTCGGCAGGTACCGATCATCAGGGGCATTCTATATATCATTGCACAATGTGCGGGCGCTATCGCAGGCTCGGCAATTCTGCGAGCCCTTTCGGCGGATTCAATGGAGCACGCCCTAGGTGTAGTGAAGCTCTCTGACGGGATCACTCCGGTTCAAGGACTCGGTGTGGAGTTCCTCCTCGCGTTGATCCTGGTCCTGGTTATCTGCGGCGCGTGCGATGCTGCTAAACCGGACAGCAAAGGCGTCGCGCCTCTCCTAATCGGCCTGGTGGTCACCGTCGGCCATATTGTCGGCGTAATTGATAATTTTGTTAAACGCAATTTTCTTTCTTTAATTTTTCAATTTAATTTTTATTTCAGTTTTCAGACTCAATCTGCATTATTTAAAATTGTGTTCCACTTCGCACACAACGTGTACTCTAAAATTATATTCTAAAGTGCAAAATTAAGAAAATAATTCTTCTAAATAATAAAATTTCTAATTATTAAAATAATATTAAAAAATAAGCATGTATAATGATGGAAGAAATTAATTCTCTTTTTTTCCGTTTATAATTATTTTATATCTTTACAACAATAATTATTTTAGTAATAATGTTTATAATTAATTTACATTTTTGTAACAATATTTTTGTAATAATCAGATCCCGCGAACGGGCGCTGGAATGAATCCAGCGCGTTCGCTGGGCAGCGCCGTGGTGATGGGTGCCTTCCATGATCATTGGGTGTACTGGGTAGGCCCGATTATGGGCGGCATCGCTGGTGCGTTAATTTATGTACACGCAGTTGGACCCGCCAAGGAACCAGAAGTCCCCGTAAGGACCTATGCTTCCGTTGCCAATGAAGAGAAGGAGGTATATTATACCACAAGAATGTAAAAAGCCATTTTCAGACATGATAAAAAGTATTCAGTTATCAAAATCCTGTAATTAATTCTCAATTTTCAGAAAAAATTAGGTTTCAAAATTATTAATCGCGACAAACTTTTTAATTTGAAATTTTATTTAACTTGTTAATTTGAAATTTTATTTAATTTTCTAAATTTTTCTTAATAAAACTATAACTATTTTATAAGTATTTTTATATAAAATATGTATATAAAAATTCTTGTTAATTCTAATTATTAAAAATTAAGTGTCATGTTTTGAACTTTTGATTCTTGTGTTCAATGTCTGAAAAAATGGTTGGAAAGTAGTTTCTAAATAAACATTAACAATGTAAGTCTGGCATCTTCCTCTGTATTAACAAAATTTAAATCGCTTAAAAATCATTTGCATGTATTAATTTTATTTATAGATATTTACTATAATTTATAACTTTCGGTATTTTTTCTCCTTGTTAATAAAATTCTGTAATCTCAAAAGTTCAAGTATTTATCCAATTCTTTTATGGGACAGATTATACTTTTATTATACACTATATAACGCATGCATGCTCGTAATGCATGATGATAAAATTCAATATAGATAAATTTTATTTTTTGATTATTTCCAAAGAATAAAACTCTTGAGAAAATCATATTTAAATAATTTTTTTTTTAAAACGCAAAATTTTTTTAAGAAATGATGAAATGCAAGATTCAAATAAGCTCTCTTCAAATTTTCTTACTTATTTTTTCGCTCTCTTTCTTATTCTTTACAAAATCTCATGACTACCAAATCTGGTGCACGATTTTCCTCGGAATAAAATTTCCATTCTAAGTACACAGATCGTCTCTGTCCCGCAGAGGTTCGAGTATATTGACAGCGGACATAACGGACTTTAAGGTATGAAGATGCCCAGACATGCACAAAACAATTTAGTAATTTATTTGTAGAATAGAGAATACTTTCGTATGTGTGAAAAAAAAGGAAAAACAAATGTCAAAACATCCTTGTTTTGCAGCTCCAGAATCTTACCAGGAAACACATCAATCCCGCTTGATGCTCTAATCAACATTTTATAACAATCTTGTCAGTTCGCCAATTGTGTGTTATCGATAATATAATAAAAATTATTAAATGGCTTTTATTGTGAAAAGTACGAAACGCAAATTGGAAAACGAAGTTTAAAATTGTATTACTTTTTAAATGAATATTATTAGAAAAGTGTCGGTTTCTAATGATCGCTAAGGACGATCTAGAAATGCAATTATCACAATTACAATTAATCTTAAATTAAAAAATAAAACTTTTTATAAGATTTCCACACTTTTGTTGGTTTTGTTAACAATTTTGTTGAAATCAAAGCATTTAAAAACATATTATAAGGTCAAATATATAATTTTGAAAAATTTTTTTATAAAATATTGCCAATTCATACAAAAATTTTCATTACATAAATTATACATAAATATATTCAATGAAAGTTTAATTGTATCATATGTTTCTAGATCGTCTTACAAATCATATGAGATAAGAATGAAAACACAAACGAATATTTGAAGAAAGCCAAAGAGATCTTCCGCTACAAAATATTTTATAATGCCGACATCTCATGCCATTTGACGACACGTGCAGTTGATATTGCAATTGCACGTATTGTATTTCGATAATCGATCGATGAGCATTCGGCTAATTCCCACCGCGCTTTTATATTAATTTTATAATAATTGAAAAATCACGCAACTTGCTAAAATGAATAGATATTTTCGACATTTGATTTTGTTTAATCATAACATCTAGAATATATGTCTCTTATAATAAATATGTATCTCTTTTCATCAATATAAACGCAAGCCAAACAAACATTTTTTTCAGATATTCTTTTAATTATTTTAAAATATTAACCGCTCTCTCATCATCAGTGAAAATTATCAAGACTTAATTTAATTTCTAATTGTTATCCTTATTTAATTATTAATTGAGACTGAGCACGCGATGTTGCAATAATTCATCATTCTCTAATAATTTAATAATTAATTTCATCATACATATAAAATAATAATAAATAACGTGCGAGGAAAAAAGATTTGCCTTAATGGAATTATTCATTAAATTTTTATAGATCGTATGTATTTATTTGAGTATATTTAATTAATTTATGCGCTTGCGTGACTTTTCGATCATTTCGCTTAATGTTAGATTAATACAGATGCATGTTCGTAGCCATTTCGCGCAAGTTTACACGCGAATTTATAATCGATTTTCAAGATACTTTTTACCCGATTATCGCGGATGTTCTCTGAATCTTTCATACCTACATGCATGAGAATTAATATTTGATTAAAAGCTACTAATTTCGTAAAAATGTCATAAAAATAAGACTAATTGTCAAGCGTGATCACGCATATGTGACATTTAATCCACTTATATATATTTAATACACTCGCAATCGTATGCATTTTTTCTATAAATGAAAGTATAGCATTATATATTGTTATATATATATATATATATATATATATATATATATATATGTAATTAATAGATTATATATTTATGTAATAATAATGATTCAAAATGTATCATGTAAATGTAAGAATTATATATATGTAATGTGTACGGAATAAAGTCTAAGTTTTTATACATAAATTCTTCCAATTATATATTCATTCTCTTCACCATAACTAATAAAATATCATAATATACTAGATAATTATATATAATGTGTATATATAATTTTTTTATTTATTTATTACCTAGACATTTATTGGGAAGAGATGTGTAAAAGAGAGAGAAAGAGGATGGAGGACTGGTATAAGAAATATCGTCGAGAACTCTTCTACACTTACACACCATATACTTTGTATATTTTTCATACATAATTCCAAATATCTTGCACAGAGTATCGGATAACCTACGTATGTTATCGTCTTCAGAACTAATTAACGAAATAATTCTGGATATATGATTACACTATCGTCATATGTATATCTAGTACTTCAGTATCTTTTATGTTCCCCACGTTGTAAATATGCTGATTTGCAATATCAGAATCAGTTGTATCAATAACATATTTAAAAAAAATTATGATTATATTAAAAAAAAAAAAATAGAAGATTCAAAAAAATTAATTTAATTATGCTAATGATAATTCTAATATACGAAGAACCAATTATCTTCGACTCATATTAATTTCAGCACTGAAATCTGATCAGTATAATTTTCTTGCTGTACTTTTAAAAATTATAATAAAATTATATATCTGAAATAGCTTAATTAGTCTAACACATTTTTTCAAATATTAATATATATGTATATCTTAATTTTATACATTGGATTAAATGAATTATATATTGATCATTCTTGACCATTCTTAAAAATATAAAAAGTAATTTAATTAATTTGAAGGAAAGGAGCGGCAAACGACAACCGGTTGATGCAACTGGTTGTCCGTTAAATTTTAATGCTAAAAAAAGTAGAATTTAACGAAAGTAAGAAACATAAAGTTTCTTTGTTAACCAAAGCAAACTTGCAAAAAAAATCGTCAAATATATTGTATATGTATGTACACATTTTTCTTGCAACTTTAGTTTTCGAAAATCGGTACCAAACGATTCGATGGTTATCTATATATTTATATACATTCTTTCATTGCAAATGTGCCGAATTGAAAGTTAATATTCGAAATGAAGGCATCACGAATAAATCTAATCAAAGTTATCTTCAATCTAGACCTCTTTACTTTAAAAATAGCATAAGTTTTGAAAAATCGAGATAATCAAGAGACAAAATCAAGAAGATATCAAAAGATTGGATATGCTTTTTTCAAATTACTATTTAGAAAAAGAATTTTACGAAAAAATATAGAATAAAATTCTTAAGAATAGATTTCTTAATGTGTCAAATTACTGAAATAACATTAATATATATTTATATTCATTCTCTCGAAATAAATAATTCACTCGAATTTACGACAATCACTTTTCGCGAAATCTGCAGTTTTCTCTTAAAAAATTTAATGATTACGAAAAAATATAGGATGCATCAAAGAAATTTTAATGCAATCTTAATGAGATTGACGTTGTATTATCTTCCGTTTGCAATCATCGAATTCTGAAACGATCGAAGCGACCAAGTTGTAAAAAACTTTATATTCAAATTAAAGAAATGCGAGATGAGATCTTTCTGTAAAACTGTCTTCACACGATTGGTGCGATTTTGTGTAATATTACCTGTAGTAAATTTTTGTTCCTCAATCAATCCATTTCGCACGATAAGGAATTAGCATTAAAAATAAAACAGATGATACGATATTATAAAGCAAATAATAAATAAAATCAATTTTGCGTACAAAAGAAATTTGAGATTCATCTTATTTTTAAAAAATAAGGTTTAAAATATAGTTTAAAATTATGTTTAAAAATACTATTATTAGAGAAACATTAACTTTTTCGATTAACTATTTATTATTTAATTTATTTAATTTAATTTATGATTAAAATTTATTATATTTAATTTAATTTATTATTTTATTAATTCTATGTCATTATTATATTTCAATTATTATTATAAAATATATAACTTCATTTTTATAATTTAATACAATTATCCCTCTACTCCTGCAAAATATTAAAGAATATCGATAACTTTATAATAAATATTTCTGAAAGATATATGTAAATTTTTATAACGAGTCTATTATATAAGTTTCGTTTCGCATTCTTTAATTTGAATGGCTACATTTTTTACGACTTATTGCTTCGATCGTTTCAGAATTCGATAATCGCGGGTAGAAAATAATATTGCATCAATCTTATTAAGATTGCGTTGACATTTCTGTTATATTTAGTGTAATTATAAAATTATTTTTTTAAGAGAGTGGCTTGAAAACTGTAGATTTCGCGAAAGTGAAGTGACTCTCGTTAGCTCGAGTGAATTATTTACAGTTTCTTAATAATTATCTGTTTTCTTTTAAAAATTCATCTGTTTTATTGTTATTTCCTATCGTTCAAAATGGGCTGATAGCACACAAATAATTGTAAGACTTATAACATCATTGATAAAACATTGTTTTAAAGCCAAATCAATCGTGTGAAGATGTTTTCATACCAAGATTCTCGTCTCACACTTCTTTATTTCGAATACATATCACTTCTTATGATTTGGTTATTTTGGAAATCTATGAGATCATGAATATAAGATACTTTCAACGAGAAAAATTTCAAAATTATTAAAAAGATCCTCTAAATTATAAAAGTTTAAATATAACTTTTGGAATTATTTACTGTAAAGTTAGATTAATATTCCATAATATTTTGCAGGAGCGCAGAAAGAATTATGTTGAATTAAAAATAAAATGATATAGTTAGTAATCATAATAACGCGTATAATTAACATAAATAATTATATCTAACAAATTTTATATTTATCTAAAAATTACTTGGTAATAATGATTTTTAAACTTTGTTTTTTAAATTAAAGTGATTCTAAAGTTTCTTTTGCATGCAAAATTAATTTTATTGCTTCATAACTGCAATATTATATCATCTGTTTTATTGGTATAACTATTACATAAACATTAATCCAGTAATAATACGCTCCATAATCCTGGATGCTAATATTGACGTTACTTAAACTAAACAGCGCGATTTACTAATATTATCAAAATTAATTAGTGCGAGAGGATCTCGGATCTAGCAAATTCGAGATTTTTACTTGACGTAGCACTTGAATAAAATAGACAAACGAAATAAAATAGAATCAAACCTTTTTTAACCTTCCATTTGCGAGAGTTTATCTTCCAGGCTGTCTTGACTGTCGTTGGTATCGTTCAGATTGATGGTGTCGTTAGCTTGCGATAGCTCGATAACGGATTCGGTCAGATTATCGTCCGTCGATTTCCGTACTTCCAGCACGTCATCCGACGACTCGAAGATCGAGGCAGTCTCAGAAAGATCCTGAGTGTCCAGCGTCAGAGTTGCACCCTCGGGCTGAGTCTCTTCTTGCGTAGCGCTCACCTGTACAACCTCGTCCGCCTCGGGATCCAACTTAATTTCCGTCTCCTGCGCAACCTCCACCTCCATCGCGGTCTCTTCCTTGATATTGGCCACGTCGCAATCTATCGTGCAATCTTGCTCAATGTGCTCGTCGACTTCCATCGACGAGTTGACGGTCTTCAGCTTCGCGGACGCGCTCGACGTGTTTATCTCTGGTGCTGCTGACGTTGCGATACCGGAAATTTGCGTGAGATCGCTCAGCATAGTCTCCTGCATCTTCACCACGTTGTCGGACGTTTCTAGGATGCTGCACAACTCGCGACTCATCTCCTCCACTTCTGACGCCTCGCCAGATTTGACGATCATGTAGCGCTTGTTCGAGTACACCTTGTTGCTTGAAATCGTCGGACCCTTCTTAGAGGGTGTGCTCGTGGTATTATTCGTGGTAGTAGGGCTGCTGTTACTGGCGGTGGTGGTTGTCGTGGTTTTCGACGCGCTCTGAATCTCCTTCTGAACATTTTCCAGTGTCTCTTCTATGGATTTCTCCTCTTCCTTCACCGATTCTTGCTCGACGTTGTCCTTCACTTCTTGGGTCGGAGTGATCTTCGTCGCTTCCGTTTCCACGTCGTCATTGTATTCTCGCTCCTCGTCGTATATACTCTGCTTTCGTTTCACGAACACCCTCTTGAGCGGTAGCTGCTGTTCATCTTCGGATTCGTCGTGTCGTTCCGGCAACATCTCATCGATTGCCTCGTAATCTTGCTGCGCCTTCCTGGCTTGGAGTTCCTCAATCTTCAACCTTTGCTGCTCGACTCGCTTCTCCAGTTGTTCCAGCTTCTCCTTAGTCTCCTGATCCTGACCCTGGGAAATCACCTGTGCCTTCTGTGAAGCGATCGAGCTCTTCGCAGCTCCGCCGCTGGGTGAAGGGGACGTCTTCAATTCGAACTTCTCGTTCAGGATGCACGTATCGGCTGCTTTCTGACGTTGCTCCGCGGATTGCAGTACCGCTTGCACCAGGCTCTGACTCTTGTCGAACGGCCGCTTCACCACTACTCGCTTCACTACGTTACCAGTCGGCAACTTGGCCAATTCCGCGGGGTCTATCGCGGTGCCGTCTGGATTCATGATGACTTCGCGAGTAGTATCGCCCTGACGGATGATTCTACGAACAATCACACGCTTAACCTTGTGCGAGCCCGGAGTGCTGCTGGTGTCTCCATCCTTGACACCGGGTGTACTGACCGGTGTTCCCTCGTTACTGGTTCCCGCTGACTTCCTCAACACGATTCTTTTAATCACTTTAACCGTATTAACGGCTTTCGGAGTGGCCGTAATAGAAGTCTCCGTCTTTATGTCGTTATCCTTGTGAACCTCCTGAGAAGCAGTCTGGGATCTCGTCACTGGAGCTGCTGGATCTTTAGACTGATCCTGGCCGGCGTTTTGCTGATGTTTCAGCGGGATCTTGTGTTCCTTAAATACCGAGGCGACAATCTTTTGCACCTGCGCCTCGGTCTCGTCAACGCGGCTGCTCTTGACGTTCTCTTCCTTGATCTGCGGCGAGGAAGAAGGTTTCAAACTGCTCTGAGAAACGGAACCGGTAGGAGTGCTCTGTTTCACGGTCTTCTGTTCTTGAATATCGCGCCGTTGGATTGGCATCAGTGTCTTAATGGTCTTCTTGACCATGTTGCCGTCCTTGTTGCGCAGGTAAACCACCTGGTGCTCCTTGCGTTCTTCCTTTTCCTGCCTTTCGGCTTTCTCTTCCTTGTCCTCTCCATCATCTTCCTCCTCCTCTTCACTTTCCGAAGCTCTGGGTATTGCCTTCGGTATTTTCTTCGCGATATAAGCTGGCGGCGTGTAATCATCGTCGCCGTCTGAATACTGATCCTCTTCCTCCTCATCTTCGTCCGAATCTAGCTCGAGGGACTTGTTCTTGTTGTCGGGCTGCAGACCGTCCGGACCCATCTTCTCGCCCGCCTCGATATGTTGCTTGATGTGAGTGACGTAATCGGCGCGATTGCGACAGGACTCTTGGCAGACATCGCACGTGAGGCCCATTCCCGTGCGCTTCGTGTGCGTCAGCTGATGCACTTCCAAGCTCTCCTTACGCTTGAACGCTTTACCGCAATCCTCGCACACGTGGCGTTTCTCGACGGAATGGGTTCGCATGTGTCTCGTCAAGTGATGCGAGAGCAAAAACGTGCGCGGGCACAATTTACACATGAACGGCCGGTGACCGGCGTGCGTGGATAGATGCCGGGCCAGCTTGGTGCTGGTGTGGAAGGCCTCCTTGCAGTAGTCGCAAACGAACGTCTTGTCCTCGCTGTGCAGCATCTCGTGCCGCTCCAAGCCCTGCTTGTACTGGAAGCGCTTGTTGCAGATGTTGCACTGGAACGGCTTGTCCTTTTTGTGCATCGCGTCCTCGTGCTTCTCGAGCTCCTCCGTGGTGAAGAATTCGCGATCACAGTGCTGGCAAGCGTAACGAGCTTCATCTCGATGCACCTTCTCGTGACGTTGCAACAAGTTCAAGCGCGAGAATTGCTTCTGGCAGATCGTGCATGAGAAAGGCTTTTCCTCCGAATGCGTGCTCATATGCTTGTTAAGGTCATACTTACTGAAGAAATGCCGTTCGCACTCGGTGCACTTGTAGTTGCGATCGCGATGTGCGCGCTGAATGTGCAACGCCAGAGCCTGACGTAGGGGGAATGTGCGCTCGCACTGATCACAAGCGTGCACTCTGATCTCTCCGGGCTCCAGTTTTCTTTCTTCCTTGATGTTGTTTGCTTCCTCCTGCTCACCCTCGCTACCTCCATCCTGCTCCTCGTAAAGATCGTGGCGGTCACTAGACTTATCCTTCTTTTCATTCTGTCTGTCCTTTTCCCTTTCTCTTTCTCTCGTCTCGCGTCTCTCTCGGGTATCTCTCTGATTATCGTTATCGGAACGTGGCTTTTTGGCGCTATCATGCTGCAATCTGGATTCGGCAGGTCTCTTGTTGCCGGTCTCTATCGGAGGATCGTTGGGAATGGGCGGGAAAGGTCTGGGCAATACCCCAGACAGAGGATAGTCTCGTAGCGCCTCATCAGCCTTCTTACATTGCAGTTTGAATTTATATGAACGGTCCAGGTTCCAGCGGCACATGCTGCAAATCATTTGTGGCATCCCATCCGCAGCGTACACCTGTCGAGAAGAAATTTGCGGCCATTCGTTAGCGATATATTCATCTGTCGGGAATCCAGAGAGGAGTTTCTTCAACGATTTGAAGATGCAGGAAAGGTTTCTCAGGCTTGTGGAGCTTATGAATTTCTGGAGATGTAGGAGACTACAACTTTCGTTGCTAGATTTATCGATTAAAATTGATTTTTTAATAAACAATATATATAATTATATTAAAATGTGTATAATATATATACAAAATTAATTTGATTTCTCTATTGATTTGAAGAAATGTTATTGTTATTTCTTACAACTTTCTAAATACAATCTAATTTTATTTAGAAAGTTGGAAGAAATAATAATACATACTTTCTCTATGAATATGTTTGATTAATCATCGTCACTTTTCATTGAACTGCAAGTCACTGAAGACGAAATTACTCGAGATTAGCGTGATGATTGAACAAGGAGAAATGAGATGATGGGTGCTTTTCGAGCTTTCGTTCAATGATATAGATATGACTGACTTCAACAAAAGAAATTATACAAGTTTACAAATGAGTGCTCAAAGAATGAATAATATAAGTACGAATAATATGAATATATATATACAGAGTATTTTGTACATGAATGGCGATATCAACAACCGGCTTAGTAATTTTAATGCCGGAAGCTGTTACTTAAGGAGAGATAATGCAGAGTCAATAAACATAAATTTCAATCAAACAAAGATAATACGATTAGATTTTCTAATAAAGTCATGACATTTTAACTGACGCATGAAAATTATTAGAAGAGTAGAATTTTATTCAAATAAAATGTAAAATTAAATTATGTAGTAATAAAAGAATAAAAAGATCATTTAATTACATAGTTATTATAAAGAGAATGGAACATTATAATATATATTTTTTCACCTACAATTTCCTGTTTCCTAAAGTTTTTATTGAAATAAACAATTTTTTATAGTAATAAATTGTATATGAAGTATACAAATAGGTCTTTAAGAAATTAGATCACATTAGATGTAAAAGTTACATCATGTGTATCATATAAAATATAAAAAATTAATGTATAGAATCAAAGAATCAATTATATTGATTCTGATCCATTGTATATTGATTCTATATTATTGAATTATATCTAAATTTGAATTTTATATTCAATTTAATAATCAAATACAGTAAATGTATGTATGCAGTAGTGAAAAAATATAGAAATAAATGACATTTTTCAATTAACAGATATGTATACAATAGCAAAAATACATTAATAAGTTGTAAGAAAGAAACATAGAAATAAATATACGTATGATAAGTATGATATATACAAAGAAATATACAGTTCAAGATAGAAATAAGAGAATAAATAAAATCTCTCATTAATAAATTATTAGATGAGGTAAATTTGATTTTCCAACACATCGCATAAATTTTCAGTATTCATTTAAATATAAAAAATAAACATCGCAAATATTAAAACGAGATAAATAATTTTACTAATAAGTTGACAAGATATATCAAATTAGTTACAAAAATCGATTAAGTATAAAATGAATCAAAATATGTATGACGTAAATAGACGCACCTTATTAAATAAAAGCAGATCAATCAGACACGAGAGATCAGTTTTAAAGTTACAAAAATTTCACTCGACAAAAATAAATAACTTCCTCCTTAACTTCCGCTCTCAAAAAGTTGTTTACTCACTCCAGCGACCTCTCATATATACGAGAAGAATTGTCAGATCGCCCAATAGCGCGGCGTCCAAGAGAGTAAGGACGATTAAAGAAGAAAGAAAAAAAAAATTTAAGCGGGAACACACGACCACGCGTCGCGTCCTCTCTTCGCGAGCGCTGACGTCACGAGGCCGCGCGCCGGATCAGCCGGCAATCCTACTGTCCACGTTACCGATGTCACCGCGCAACAACCTCCACATCCACGACTCGCACCCGAGTGTCGCACAACAAACACCCCCCTCGCGGCTAAACATCCTCATCCCCCTCTAATCACCCGCGGCCTCCAGACAAAACTCCCGATAACGGGGCAGAGGGGCAGAGGGGGAGGGGGAGTCTCGAGAAGCGAGTCCATCTCGCAGGGAGAAGGTTGCGCGGGAGGAAGAGCGAGAAGGCGGTGGGGAGGGGGAGGAGGGGGGGCACTCACCTCGATGGCGACGCAGGACATGATTTGCAGCGTGAGCGGCACCTGGAACGGCTTGTTGTGGTCGCGCTCGTAAATGAAGCTCAACGGTTCCGCTTCCGTCAGGCAGAATCGGCAGACGCGCCGCGAGCGCAGCGGCGACGGTCTGTTCTCCATGTCTCTCTCTCTCTCTCTTTTTCCCCTCGGCACGGGATCGGGGAACGCGCCGGCTTCCCCGCGACTCGGCGGCGACGGCGTGGCCGCGTCGAGCGACACTCTCCCGACACTCTCGGACGCTCCCTTCGCGCGATCACTCGCACTCCTCCGCTCGGGACCGCGCTGCTCCAACAGTAGCGATAACAGCAGCGCTGGGCTTAGCTCGGGCTTTTCGGCTGGTTACTCCCCCGACGTTGGCTGGCTCGCTCGCTCGAACTCGTTCGCACGACTCGCTCGACTCGGCGACGCCGAGCGTCGGTAAGCGTCGCGTCGCGCACTCTTCTCACTCGCCGGAGAATAGCGGCCACGGTACGGTACGGTACGTAACTCGTTGCCACGGCGCTATATAATGGCGGACGAACGTGGAACAGATTGGCCAAAGTCGCGCGTGTCTCCCGCTGCTTGCGCAGAGAATGGTATGTCCGAAGACACGAGCTGGACTCGTGCGGATCTGCGGGTCTTTGCACGGTGGCGCCGCGCGAACGTCGGAGGATACGAGGAGCCGGGGAGTCGCGCGGTCGGTAAAGCAGGAAGCGCGCTTGTCGCTAGCCGCTCGCGCGGGACATCGAGTACGGTTCGCGGCCGACAGATGACGCGTTCGCACTCGTTCGCGGCGCCGAGAGAAAATACTGGTGGTACCGGTTGTGTGTGTGCATTCTTTTTATTAAAATAAGATAGATTTATTTAGATTTAGGGAATATGTATTTTTAAGAGAGAGAGACGCAATGTTTTTGTAGAGCTATTATGCAATTAATATAAACGATTTGCATCAACAATTCACATCATCAAGAGTGAATAAAAATGAGACGTAATTAAATTAATTGACTCCTATTCTGTAAATATTAATTCTCTAAATGATTTGAATGGACTAAGAATTATGAAAGCTAAATATATTTTGATATATTGTTCGCGTATGTAAAATCATTGTTTTATAAATTTCTATTCTAGATTTAGGGGATGTATATTTTAGATTTAGAGAATATAGTTTTGAAGGAAAAAAAGCGTTTTTTTAATAAAATTATGCAACTAATATAAACAATTTAGATAAACAATTCACATTTTCAAAGGTCAATAATGAAAAATAGTAGTAATTAAAATAATTAACTCGTACCATAAATATTATTAAACGATTTTGAATAGATTAAATAGATTAAATTTTTCTATAAATTCCTGCAAATTTTATATTTTTTTTCATTTTTATTTTTTCATTTTCTATTTTTAAGATTAGAAAATAGTATTTATTTCATAGTATTACTGATTATTTGAGTGATTTATGAAAAAATAGAAAAAAGTAAAAGTACAAGTATAACTCAACTTGTATTTTTTTTTTGTTATTATGCATTTCTACATTTTATAGAAATCTTATTCCTATAAAAATTAAATTTGTTTTAAGAAAACATTTGAAAGGTTTGAAAATATAAATTACAAGTTATTATATTAATTTTTATTTTTTTAAATAATTGTTTATATCTCAATTTGTATTTTTTATTGTTATTATATATTTATTCATTCTGTAAAAATTTTATAAAATTCTATATAAAAATAAAATCTGTTTTAATAAAATCTTTGAAAGATTCGTCAAAATGTGATAAATTTCAAAGTGGATGCAATTTTATCCTTCAACAACTATTTTGTGGAGTTTCAACTCACGACATGGTATCCGAGTATCATCTCTGGCTCGGTTTAATCCTGATCCTGCTGACCTGATCCTGATGACCAGCATGTTCAGTTATTATCATCGCGCACTATGAACTCATTTTTGCAAATGGTATCACAATAGACCAAGGTCCTGCGGGACGGTGAAGAGAAAGGAGCTGCCGGTGCCGGAGCTGATAGTTGGGGACATCATCCTGCTGGAGACCGGTGACCGGGTGCCCGCTGACATTAGAATCCTGGAATGTCAAGGTAAAGTGAGATGCGAGATTTCTATCACCAAACAGTGCATGGAATATTCTCGTTTTCTCGCGGAACAAGAGCCTTTCTCCTTGCTCGATCAACACTCGCGTTGATTTCTCGCTTTATTCAATATTTTATCGAAAGAAAAAACAATTATTCGGGGAAACATATAAATATGAAATTATAATTATTGGAGAAATATATATTTTAATTTTTAAAGAATTAATATCCTCTTCCAATTGTCGCTAATATCGCAAAAAAATTAATACTTTTTATATATAAAACGCAAAATTCTAGATTTCGTTATTTAATTTTTCTCTTTTTAACGAAGATTTGAAAGTCGACAATCGATTACAGAGGAATCGATATCATTAATAACTAATATCCCTCAAATCGAAAATACTATTCACGCGAAAAACATGCTTACTTTTTTCACAAATGTTGAAGGTATTGTATAAAGAAAAGAGCTTTTTACTAAAATAAAATGCAATTTAAAGAAAAAAAAAAGAGAATCTATTTCAAACAATCGCAGAACTAATTATATTAAACGTTATTAAATTCTTAATTCAATTAAATATTTTGTTAAATATTTTTATTCTTTTATTTTATTTTAATAAATGTATATTCTTTTATTTTATTTATTATTTTATTTATAATTTCACTTTCTTTTTTTTATTAATAAATAATTAATCTACTCGGTGGAAAATCTTTATTCCACTGAAAATTTTTATTAGAGCCAAATTAACAATCTCTATTGCCAATATTTAGCATTGGCTTGTGATCATAATGAGAAGAGTAGCCAAATTAACTTCAAGACTATCAGTTCCACCTACACTTCTTTCCAGAGAAATTCATCGCTTTATGAAAATCATCTCGTGTTGGGCTGTATTTTTGGACGTCTTGTTCTTCTTCTATTGTACAAATAAGCTAATTGAATCGACTCGATCGTAGTTTTGATCGGCATCATTGTGGCGAATGTGCCGGAGGACATTATCATCATAGTAACGGTCAGCCCGACCTTGACCGCCAAGAGGATGGCTAACAAGAACTACCTGGTAAAGAATATCGAGGCTATCGAGACCCTCTGATGCACTGTTATTTGCAGCTACAAAACAGTCATTCTCACGCAAAATAAAATGACCGTACGATCGATTTCCTCTCCTCACATTAGAATAATCTTTTGCAAAAATGTGCCCATGTAGATCAATTCGTTTGTTTTTTCACACTTTTGAGAACCTCTTAAAATTTTATTTTTTATTATTTATATGTAACATACATTTTATTTACACATATTATATAATTATTTTATTATAATTTTTTATTCTATTATAATTGTAATTAATTAGTATTTTATTTTATTAATTATACACAATCATATCGTATTTATTTTCCACTCTTATACAGACACAATTTTTTACTAGTCTTGTGTCTTTTTATCTGTATTTCATTTTTTACTTATATTTTTTATTTATATTTTATTTTTTAATGTTTTCTTTGAAACATGGAAAGATTGCAAAGGTGCTATTCTTTATGTAATCGACGTTTCTCTCGCTTCAAAGATATGATCGAGTTTTTTCATCGTGTGATTACGCGATTTCAGGTGACATGTATGATATGGCCAGCTTTGATGGCGTCACAGACACGTGGCGGAAATATACCAACAGCCCTCGATTCGAGACTTTAGCCAAATGGCGAGTCTTTGCAATCGCGTATAGTGGACACTGATACTTGAAGATAAGCTTTCGTTGCCGCTGAATAAAAAAAAGATCCTGGAAAATGGACACGACCTCGCTAAAATGTATGAAGATCCTTGCGAAGGGGAGAGCTAATTCCTTCAAGAAGGATTATGTCAAGGTGAACAAGCTCGATCGATTGTACAAGAAATTGGGACTTAAAACATCATAATATAAATATTTGTAATATAACAAATGTATCAGCTCTTTAAATTTTTAATATAATTTAATAAATTCGATTTTAATTTTAATTTTCAATTTAAGTCAATAAATTTTCTTAAATCATATTTTTTGATTTGCTTTAATATATTTTTAATTAAAAGTTTAAAATGTAATTAATTCTAATAAATATTACACAATTAAGATAAAATATTTTTGTACATATTTTATTAAAAAATTATTGTATATATTTAAATATTAATACTTTTATGATATGACATTTAAGTGGATTTATGTAATAAATGTACGTTAATTATAATTTTCTCAATCAATCGAATACATTTCATTCTTTTCGTCGACAAACTTTCGGTCTGATCGCTATGATGGATCCATAATTATTCCTGATTCTATATACAAGTACCGCTACGCCAGCATCAACGTCATGATGATGATTGGCGATTATCCCGACTGTCAAAGCGATCGTTAAATACGTTGGCATCATCACAGATTACGATGACAATAATGATCTCAACAACGATTCCAAAAAATATAATGACAAGTTACGAGATCTATTACCTGAGCAACTGGATCAACTGATCAAATGGTATCAGAAAGTTGTATTCGCCAGAACGTTCCCAGGGTATAAACTGCAGATCAAGAGCTATCAAAGATAATATCTGATCACTGCAGTCACCGGACTGTGAAAAAGGATGACATTGATGTGGACATCGCAGGTATTAATTTATATTTTCTATAAGAAATATAAGATGGATGCTAATATTTTTAACGTCTTTCGAAAGAATTCATTCTTCATTTAATTCAGAATAAATTTAAAGTAATCGAAATTTAACTCAAGATCTATATAATTATAAATATGTCTCTGAAATTAAATATCATACAATATATTTAAATATTTAATTATCTAATTTTATCTTCTTTCTCTGTTCCATTAATTTCTCAGGAAGACTAGGATACTTTAGAATGATTATTTAGTCAGCAGACGTCTTCATGGCGTACGGCCAGATTGTCGTGATCGAGATGTGCACAGGTTTCTTCACTTACTTCGTTTGTAATAACGAAATTTTTATCTACATGATTATTCGGTTTGAAACCGTAGTAGGACAGTTCGGCATTGAATGACCTGAGGACAGTTTTGAACAGAATTTACAGCGGAAAATCCTCGAGTATACCTGTCACACTTTTTCGTCAGCATCGTGATTGCCCAATAAGCAGACGCAATAGTGTGCAAGTCGCAATTCACTGCTCCGACAAAGCATGAACAACTGGACTCTGAATCCAGGTCTGCTCCTCGAGATCGCAATGGCCTGCATAGTATCTTGTGCACTCTACATGGACCGTATCCTGAGGACGTATCCTTTGAAATAGGAATGATGATTATCCGGAATATCATACGCTATCATAATTTTCATTTATTTTGAAGAGTTGAAGAAGTGATGGATCAGAAGAAACCTGATAATAGGATAAAGAAATCTCGTAGATGAAATGATGAAGAGAAATACTTTATAAAAAACAAAGAGATTGAAAAGAAAGAAACAACAATTTTAATCTAATTTTTTTAAAAATTCGAGAATATTAATCTGAAATATTGAAGAAATATAATAAAATTAAAGAAATTAATACAGCTGTTTTCTTGCTTTTCAATTTTTTCAATTTTTAATTTAGAAAATGTTCTATGTAAATTTGATAATATTTTTTAATCTTGAAGGATTAGTACAATGAAAAAATATGATATGATATTTTGAATATAATATGTGCTTTCACAAGTTGTTTTTCAATAAATAATATGTGTGAAATAAGATTTATTTGTTGAATGAGATATGAGAGAGATATTGCAATATTACATTCTCTGACATGCACCAAATAAAAAAAGTAGTTTTGTAAATGGTAACCTTTCGCGATTTTACGTTTTCCATAATCATGATCGCTTGAGATTACGATGAAAGCAACTCTTCACCTTTCTAAATACATTGCCGCAAACATAATGTGGAATTAAATGCAATTAAGTGAATTGCAACATTAAATTTCAAGATACAAAATATATATACAATCAGAACATATATATTTGAATAGTTCTCTCCCCATCATTTGGAAATAATTCAGAAATAAAATATTAAATACTTATTAATATTTTATGGATATTTCATATTTATCTATTGATGTTAAACGCAATAAAATTAAGAACAAAAGTGTGAATTGATGAAACTAAATTATTAATAAAAATTCTTGCTTAAATAAATTGTAGAAAAAATAAAAACTTCTTGGACAAAGATTAGTTCACAAAGAAATGATTAAAAATTCTATTATCATTGACTGAATAGTATTTCCATTCGTTCACTGCTAAAATTACTGCACAAGTAACGATACGAATACGAAAACTGAAAGCAATAACAGAAGAAACTGGAATTTCACGTCTTTTTTTCAAAAGACATTGGCATCCTAAAAATATCTCAAATGAATACTAAGGTTATCTTGATTTTACGATACTTATTTTCGTCGCGTATTTTTCGTGTAAAATTTATTTTGTTATCTGCATTTTACTTTGGATTCCCATTGTATTTAAATTTTAAAAATGTTTCGATTTTTAATTCAGATTTAACAGAATTTTTAACTCAATCTTTTGCTACATATAATGTTATAATTAAAACTATAATATAAAAATATATGTAATATTATTAGTTACACTGAAATTACCGATACGAATATTGATTTTTATCATTAATTATCATTATTTTCATCAAAATTTCGAAACATTTGATGAAGACATATTGTTGTGTGTACAAAAATCAGTATATATGAAATTTATTTTGAAATGAGTGTCTTTGATTAAACCTGATGTTAATAAAAACATAGTCGATGAAATACCTGCCAATGCTTTCGTAGAAAAACACTTGCCAGTTTAACGTACTATCAGCACATATATATACGTATAAAAGATTGGCAGTTCTCCATAGAATTCTATGTAGTCACCAAGTGTTGTAACCTCGTGAAGAATAAAGTGGGGGCCACATATAAGGCCCCGACGACCGTTCAACGAGGCCCAGTAGTCTCTAGTCATCAATTCAAACGCGTTACCACGACTGGATCATCATACAAAGTGACACTCTTTCTCTCTCTTTCTTTCTCAACCAACGTCATCCTTCGTCAGAATGAAGACGGAGGTCCTTTTTCTTTTAGTTTGCTTTGGTAAGTTCTCTTATTACATATATGTTATCCTTTTCAAATAAAATCAAATTGTTTTTACAAAACTCGAAACTTAGATTTTAGATTGGTTTGAATTCTTTTCAATTGCACAAGTATACACTTAATAATTTTAACTGAAATTTGCACTATATAAAAAAAATAAAAATAAATTTTTTTGCATGTGCCATATATGTAGAAAATATATATTGATAAAAAGTAAATCATTTCATTTATATATTTATTAAATACCTAATAAATATAAATTTTAAATCAAGCTAAAAATAACACAGAAATACACTGAAAAAATATTAATATTTATATGTGTGTGATATACAAAATATTATATTATATATTATAATAAGATAAAAAACAAAACTTTCTATTTACATTTCATATTATTCTTATTTGTTATATTTTATTTTATATTCAAGTACATATTTTATTATATTTTTATAGTTGTTATTTTTAGTTTATATTAGTTATTATATTAAAATAACTTTAAGAGCTACAATTTTATTTTATTGTCAAATTTTCAATTAAAAATAAAAGAGTATAAAGGGAAAGACGTTTTCGAAAGTAGACGCGTCTATTCAGAATCGTTCTAGTTGACTACTATTGCCTGGATGTTTATCGGAATCTGGTGTTGGTGTTCGAAAGCTATCAATCTGAATCGATTGAACGACATTTATGTTCTGGGCGAGCGACCAATCGAGTGTATACCTATACATATGGAAGCCCGGCCACTTTCTCGCTTTCTTCGCTCGCACTCGCGAGGTCGACCGGCGTTTCTTCAGGGACGCAGACGATGTACCGCCTTGAAAACGCGCCAATAGACCAGTCGACCCTCTGCCTTCACATTCACATTCTTTCTTCTTTCTTAATTCCCTTTTATTTTCCCTTTGCTGACTCGAAGTAGTCATAAGAATCGAAGAGTTCGAAGGATATGTGTATCAAGAATTCAAAATAATATATATAAATATGAGATGTAAATAAGAGATATATATATGTAAAATATTTTTCTTTTTCCGAATATTTTTTTATATTTATCTCAGTTGTAATAAAAAGTATATTTAATAAATATTATATTATAATTTGTAGGCACATATGCTAGTGTAAAATAATATTAAAAAATAATTTTGAATAATTTTATACATCTCAACAAACCATACTTTTTTATTGTTATACATCCTTTGCATTATATAATTTTTATTTACTCCTTTTTTTCCTATCAGGAGCTGTTACCGCTTTGACGAGAAAGCAAGAAGCCGCCGAGCAGAGTCGCCGAAGGACTGCTTTGGCGACAACGGTGAAGAAACAGCAGTCGACTGCAGAGGAGGAATACGAGGACGATGAAGAGCTTCTGGATCAGTGTCCTGAGCCCAATGGTTATTTTCCTGACGCGGAACAATGCGACAAATATTACGACTGTCGAGATAACAAAATAACGGAAAAACTCTGCCCCGATGGTCTCGTCTTCAATGACTTCAGCCCGCAACACGAGAAATGCGATTTGCCATTCGGTATCGATTGCACGAAGAGACCTAAGCTACGTAAGTCATTTTATTTTACATAATACAGTAAAATCGAGCAACGTGTATTCTCTATTGATAATGTACCAAGCTATAAAAATTTGATTCATACACTTGCATTAATTATATTTAAAAAAAATAATATCCCTACTGAAGGACTATAAAATATTTTGTTTTTATACATTTATTTTACAGAAAAGCCGCAACCGTCGTCACATTGTCCTCGCATGCACGGTTACTTCGCCCACGAGGACGCTAGGAATTGTGACACCTTCTACTACTGCGTAGAGGGCAAGTACAACATGATCACCTGTCCGGAAGGTCTCGTCTTTTCCGAGAAGACTGGAATTTGTAACTGGCCGGACGAAGCGCAGAAGAAGGGTTGCGGTTCTCGCGAGCTCTTCAATTTCACCTGCCCGAAGGTGGACGATAGCGTGGCCGCGACGCACCCACGCTATCCCGACACCGAGGACTGCCAATATTTCTACGTATGCGTCAACGGTGAAATCCCGAGGCGAAGCGGATGCAAACTTGGCCAGGCGTTCGACGAGCGCACCGGGAAGTGCGATTGGGCTAGGAAGATACCCGAATGGTATACAATATATTCTATCGAATTTAACTTTACTGTAAGAGTAATAAAAGTGAAGAAACTAAACTTTTAAATTCTAGATGTGATACAATTTAAAATTATATAATTAATTAAATAATTATTTAAAATTATATCATTAAAATATAAAAGAGTCTGTTTCTATAAAATTTCTCTATAAAAAAGAACAAAAATTCTTTCCTCCATTAGATTCTTCAAAAAAAGTCAATTAATTCTATTATATAATAAACATACATATTTCATATATTTTTTAATTTGCTTGTTATTAATTAATTTCTCATTTTTTAAAGACAAACGTAAAATTTAATTACAGCAAAGACTGGTACAAAGATCAGCTGACTGATGAAGAACTGGACGCCTTGGAGAATCCACCGCCGAAGCCTAAACCCTCTGGTGGACCAAGCAGAAGAAAAAGTAGCAGGCCGACCCACGAGTAAAATATTGTCTTTAGATTATTTATAGATCTTAAGTCTCTTTATTCTTTGAAACCGTTTGTATAATAAACTTATCTTTATTATAAATTCGTTTTTTTTAAATATATATTTAATCCTAAATCCTAAATCTTTGAAATAATTCGTTTAAAAAGAAAAATTTGTATACTGCAAATATTTGAAGATATATCAATTATAATGACAAAGAAAATTATTTAAAATCCTTATTGGAAATCAATGGCAACTATATTTTTATGTCTTATAATTATTATATTCATAATATTTAGAAATTTTGCTTTAGAAATGCTTGCTCTAGAAATTTGCTTTTTTCATTTTCGAAGTATTTTTTTTTATTTCTGTCTCTCGTAAAATCGATATTGTACTAATAATCTCATTTGCATAGATCACAATGACATAAATCAAGGGATTCGGAATTCTTCCGCAAATAAATTCCGATCGTGTGTTAAATTTACGCGACTAGTGAAAGTGCGATATTGATCGACGTTCCTTACATTTCTCGTACTGGAAATGTTTCCGAAAACCAGCTCTAACGTAATGCTTTCGTAAACACGAAAAATAGTGAAAAGAAAATCATTTTACGTAAATCAAAGAGCATGTTAGAACATTAACACTTATTATAAGTAAAATGTCATAAACGAGGAAATATACAGCTATATTAAAATTATAAATATATAAGCTATATTAAACAAAGTTTAACAAATCATGAATATGTGATATATTATTCTTTTAATATTTATGAAATAAAATTTAATTTTATATATTCGTTTTGTCGACAAATAATTAGAATAAAATCTCGTAAATTTTAAACAGCTCAATTAACGCTATATTGTGCGAATTTTTTATTTTTCTATGAAAAGTTTATGATTATTGTAATTAATAAGAAAACACAACAAAATATTTTGTAGCTTCGATATATATTTATATAAAAATCTTATCTGTATAAAATAGTTAAAATAAGTATGTATAATATTTTTAATTGATATCAATAAATAAGAAACACGAAGTTTATATATTAATACTGACAATGCGAGAAAAAAAGAGAGAAAAAACAAAAGTGTTCAATTTTATTTTTCATTATATAGTTTTTAATCAATAAGAAGGGAAATATTAATTAAAAGTAATGAAAAAAACGTAAGAAAATAATTAATTAAAATCCCATATTTAATATTTTATAATATTTTTATATAAATTATAAAAGATATTTAAAAAATTTTGCAGATATTTAAAATTTTCTGCTTTTTTGAAACACATGAAAAGTTTTTCAAATTTTATACTCCTTAATGTAACATCACAGATACATAAAGCTCTAACTGTTGTTAATATTTTACTATAGCAAATAATGCTCGATAAATATCCTACAATAGTAACAATGTCTCAGGTTTTTTTTCAGAACAATTGAAGCGAGAGCGAAGGTGAATGTTAAACGGTAATTATAAGAGTAGAAAGCCTAACAGAAGGCTATTTGCTGGTCGACCACAGTCAACGATGCGTAGTTTAATATGCTTCTTTTAAAGTCATTTATTTAGAAATAGGAGGAAACAATGTTTCTGAATATTAAGACTTTTTCAGATTTTAGAAATGTTTATTCTCTTCATCTCAAAAGTGCTTTTGATTTTTTCAAAGATATTATGGGAAAATTATATTTTTGAAGCGACATTTAAAGCTTTTTTTCATTATTTCTATTATTTCAAATATTAATTTTTTCCTCTCATATTCTTGCTCTTATTATATCTTATATTAATTATGTTTTAAATATATTTTCCGCATCGAGATTTATTTTATCCAAAATGCTTTTTTTTAGAATATAATAAAGTTCTCTCTACCTTTGTGCATTAAATTTGTAAAAAATTAATATCGTAGAAAGAAGTGTAATTGAAATATTGACAAAATTGCTTTTTCATTCATCAGGATTTAGCTTAACGTTACTTCCGGCTTACCCGTCATCGGATGCATTACGATTTGCATTTTTGTCATCGTGGAAAAACACGACGAAGGACATCGAGGTGAGAGCGCCGAGAAGAGAAAGAGAGAAAGAGAGAGTTAAAAGTATACCTTCCTTATCTCTCACTCTCGCTTCCTTTCCCTCTCTTATCTCCTCGATTTTCATTCTCGACCGGTGTCCGCCGATGAAATGCGACGGCGAAAGTGGGATTTGTCTGTGATATAGTGGGGATCCAAAGGGTATAGCCAGCTGGCGAGTAGCCGAAGAGCTGCAGTTTCGCGAGAACGACGACATTCCAAAGAGGGACCAAAAATTAGATAGCCTAATATAATTCGTTCGTCCGTTGTAGTGAATCTTAGTGCGATCGAGGATCATCCTGCGACCAAAAAAGCATAAAACCGGAAGAATGTTCGCGGCTGGGATCGTCACGTTGCTAGGCGCCATCGCGCTGACACGTGAGTATCGACCGTTGGATTATCATTCTCTATAAAAATGATGATAATATTTGCATTGCGTTGTTATAAAAAAATCATAAATTTATATAATTTCTCAAGATGTCCAAAAATTTTAATTATTACCGTTTTCTTAAAATTATTAATGAATATATATCAATATCATCCTAAAATATTATTTACGATCAAATATATAATAAAATATTATTTATTATCATTATATTATTATTATATTATTATTATATTATTATTATATTATAATTATATTATTCTTATATTAATATATTATTATTATTATATTAATATTATCACATAAAATATTATTTATGACTATTATATTTCTTATAATTTGATTTTTTAGATTTTAGATTTGTAAAAGTTAAATTTTATATGAAAAAGATATAAATTTGTTAATTATTTTGTAAAAAGATATATTAAGATTCTTTACGATATTGCTGCTTATACATTTCCTGAATTTTAATTCCTGTTTATTTTTAAAGTATAAAAATTCCTGCAACATAACACAATTTCGGAAAGACTGAATGCTTTAAAGATTATATTCAAACTTATTATTAAAATATTAATAGAAAAATGTATATAGTCTATAGTTTTTACATTTTTATAATTCTATAATATGCTCACTTGTTTAATAGTAAATATATACAGAATTCTGTTTGTCGATTATTTCAAACATCAAATGCGTGTTAATGAATTATTTATTCGTTGATAAAATCACGATAAAGAAAAGAATTCAAAAGAGAGTAAAAAACTTGGTAGAAATGTCTATTAGAATTAAAACTCAACGCGGAGACAGTGCGAGAGAGCGAACTTTCTAAAGCGTAAATGTCAGTTCTCCCGATCAGCGGATTGCATAAGTGCAGTCAAATGCGGTCGAGATAAAATTACATAACGAAATATAATAACGGTGATATATATGCAAATATAATATAATAATGCTGATCTCCGACAAGAATTTGGACAGAAATCGAACAAATTCAACCTTTTAAGACTTCAACTATCGGAAATTCTGCCATCAAAAATCGACTTTTTCAAAGAACCACAAAATTATTAATGTCAATATAATGTTACAGACGCCGCATTTAATTGTCCTAGCAAGGACGGTCAATACGAGGACAGCAAGCAATGCGATAAGTACTATGACTGCATCGATGGCATCGCATCGGAAAAATTGTGCCCAGACGGTCTCGTGTTCGATCCTCTGAATCGCAAGGTCAACAAGTGCGACCACGTATTTAACGTCGACTGCGGCGATCGACTCGAATTACGTAAGACAATATCGATAAAATTATAATATTTCAGAATGTGAAATGCTTGAAGGAGGATAAATGGAAGGAAGGACCTGCAAAAAATTGCTAGCATTTCAAATAAAATTTGAAATATATGTAATAATATATTTATATAATTTATAAAATAATATTATTTTTGAATTAATTGTTAGCTGAATTTTTTTCTTGGAATCTTATAATTTAAATTTGTACTCTTGTTACTTCATTTTGAAAATCATTTATACTTATTTGTATCTATATATTTATATAAAATGGACAGATATTGAATACGTCATGGCTTAAAAATTAAATTATTTAATTATATTATTTTTAATTAAAAATTAAATATAATATTTACATTAATAAGTTAAATTGGCTCTAAATCAATGAAACTGCAATTAATGATTCTCGTTAATAGAACCTCCGCAACCAACGAAAAAGTGTCCACGACGAAATGGCTTCTTTGCGCATCCCGATCCGTCAGTGTGCAATATCTTTTACAACTGCATCGATGGAGAGGCGATCGAGATCACTTGCACCACCGGGTTGCACTTTGATGAGTACAGTGGAACCTGCGTGTGGCCTGACAGCGCGGGTCGCGAGGTAAAAACACTTTTGATATTTATTTATTTTTTTTATTTTTTGGATTAATCATTATAAAAAGAAAAACAATATATCTACAAAGTTAATTGATATTAAAAATTCCAAAGAAAAAAGAAAGAAAATTTTTTTTTTAATATTCATATGTTAGAAATATTAATATTTTATAAGAGAGAGAACAGGATATGAAAAGTTAAAGTTCTGTTTCGAAAATATAAAGAAACATATTCAAAACTCGAACAAACTGCGGACTTATTCGTTAAATCTTTAATTGGGAGAAAGTACGTCGCATTTCTAATACACTTGTAGTTAGTATGTACTTTCTCTCACAGTTACATTTATATTTCTTCGACTAATCCAAAATATATTTCTTTACCCAATTATCAAAATTAAATAATATAATTCTAAAGTAACATAAATTTCGAAAATTATGTTTAAGTTTCCCTTCTCTTTATAAGATGCAATTAATAAAATTTTATAATTTAGTATTTAATACGTTTACATTTCTATTCCTGTATAAGATAAGTAATTAAAAGCTAAAATGAAAAAAAAGAAAATGAGACGTCAATAGCCTGAAAATATATCGACAAAAAATCTATCAGGATATTTGCAAATAAAATTTAATAATTCTAATAATTAGGAAAAAGCGCAAACTTTAATTAATGACAATAACATAAAAATAAATTGTAGGGTTGCGGAGTCTTGGGTAAGAAGCTGCAGGATGGCTTCGAGTGTCCGAGCGAGGGTCAGGTCGACAGCAGAGGTATGTTGATCGATCATCCCAAATTCCCACACCCCGATGATTGCCAGAAGTTTTATGTGTGCTTAAACGGGGTAACACCACGCGAGCAAGGCTGCAGCGATGGTACTGTTTACAACGAGGAGCAACAGAGGTGCGACGCGCCCGAAAACGTCCCCGGATGGTACGAATTATTCATCATTTATTATATTATTATATTATTATTATTGTTATCATATTCATATAATGATAAATAATTATTATCAATCGCTAAATAATTGCATTGCCACGTATTCTGATTGTGAGATCGTTTAATAATCGACAAAGACACGTGGTTTAATAAATATCTCTTAAATATAAACAATAAGTTTCTAATTTTTAATTTTCAATAATTCATTAAAAATTAAAAATCTTAAAAGCTTATTGGTTTTAAATGATTCTATTATTATTATAATATCTTGCTTAATTTTTGACATTTTAATTATATACGTATACAATTTTTTTTTTTGATTGATTGGATTATTATTAGTATTTCTATTGTCATGCTTTATTTAAAGGCTGGAAGAATTTAATAATTGTTTTCTTTGCAGCGAGGATTGGTATAAAGACGATGACAAGAAGCTGTAAGGAAGTTGTCGGTGTTCATCTGTCCCGCATCGGGACATTTCATGTTTCGTTCTAATCGTGTCACCTCTTTCCTTCATTCAACGAATAATCCCATTGTGTGTGTTTAGCCATTTGAATGACTTGGAATACATTTTATTTTTACTTTATGTGTCTGTCATTTTTTAAAATTAAGTCCCGATCTTCCTTTCCCAATCTGTTAAAATGCATTATGGCGAATTAAGATCATTTATTCTTCCGATAAAAAATTGTTCAATTGATATAATTAATAAAAAAAACGGCAATTTTCTGTAAATATTTGATTTAATTAATATGTCGTTAATAAAAAAAGGCAATTATTATAAACTGCAATTGTGACTTATAAATTACAAATATAAATAATTTTTTCATGCAAAAATACGAAAATATTGATAATATTCATGTAATTAATAATTAATTACTTATATGTTTCAAATAACTATAAATTTTTATTTTTAAACAATCCAATTTATATTGTTATAGCTAATAAAAAAGAGTAGAAAGAGAGAAAAATATTTTTTTTATTTATAAGATTATTAAAATTAATTAACCGATACACTAGATGTGCTACTGGTTAAATAGTCTATATCTTTTTGAAGGAATTAATTAATGAGACTTTGTTTTCGATAAATCCTCGAAACAATATTCGAGAAACGTATATAAAGGCCTTGAATCGTTTTTATTACGAGATCGGTCGACTATCACTTTCTCTTGAACTACTCGCTTGTTTCTCATTTTGCAATTTATTCTCTCTCTCTCTCTCTCTCTCTCTCTCTCTCTCTCTTCTTCTTCTTCTTCTTCTTCTTCTTCTTGTTTTTTATTCTCTCTCGTATTGCATTATTCGATTAATGTAAAAATATGTTTTAAAGAAAAATTTATTTTACATAACACATAGCTTAAAAAAATTTATTTGCTCTTTTTCAATGAAAAATTAATTTATTTTTCTCGCATGGAAGGTATGTTGAATTATTACACACGATATTCATTCATCCAACTTTCCAATTTACGAACATTCATCGCAAATGTTACTTGCTGAAGATTTAATCTATGTTTTAAACATAGAATTAAATATTCCGCAGCTTTCAACGTAACGATATTCAATTTTGTCATGATTATGTGAATCGCAATGTGTTTCTTTCCTTTCCAATAGGCAGAATTTTAAACAACATAACACTAACGTAAATAATATAAAATAGCGTTACAATAAAGAGAGAGCGCACTTTAATACTTGATTTGCAAAATTAAATAACATAATTTCGTATCACATATGTATTTTAATTATTTTTGTAATTTATAAGATACTATTTCTCGAGTTTTGCTAATGAAAGTGATTAATTGGGGCATAATTGAGATGCGTTAACATGAAGAAATAATCAGATATCTGCTTCTATAATACATGAAATTATCATTTCTTTCATTTTGCTTCCTGCAAAATGCAAAAGGATAATTTCAGATTGATAATTAATTAGCGCGTAATCGTGCTTCACTGACTTAAATAAACAAATAATTGTTTCAATGAATTCATAAAAAAAATTTCTCTCGTTCCGCTTTCAGAAATATATATATCGATTCGATCTAGAATTGATTAGACACCCAAGTCATAAATCTGACTGCAGTCGCATTTGCAATACGAGTTTCAAGCTAGGTAGGAGCAGCAGCAACAACGAGTTATCGTAGCACGCGGAAGTGTACCTGAAATCTATATATCTCTTTTGCATCGAGAATAGTGCAATGCAGTAAAACTTGCGTCCGTGCATCCATTAGAATGCATTCGCATCGGGAGAAAGATGGCTGCGATTCGATCAAGAGAGAGAATGAGAGAACTTTCGACAAAAAGGGGGGCAAAGTCGGGAGAAGGGAGAATCGGAAAATATGCAGCAACAAAGACCCGCTAAGGTGGTGGCGAGGCTACGAGCGAGCGAAATAGGACCCGGTTTCGGGCCTGGCAGTCACATTTTGCCAACGTCGCGACGCACTGCTGCCGACGTAGTTGAAGAAGAGAACAAAAGGACCGAAGAAGAAGAGGAAAAGGAGAAGAAAGAGTCTCCTCGGGAACTTTAAGACACCGACTCGAAAAACTTTGGGATTTCGCCTCCCTTCAGGATATCAAAGATGGAAAAGCGCGTGCTTTTTCGCCATTTTCTGCCATTTCTGACCCTGGTGACCTTGAGCTGGGCACAATTCCGATGTCCGGAGCCCAAGGGCTTCTTTGCCGATCCGGAACAGTGCGATCTTTATTACTCTTGCGTGGACAATCAACCCGAGGAAAAACTTTGCAAGGACGGACTCGTCTTCAGGGATGATAATCCTAAGAAAGAACTCTGCGATATACCGGCGAACGTGCCTTGCGGCGATCGTACACTTTTACGTAAGTTTCAAATCATTCTCTGAATTTATTAGATCTTTATTATTGTAATTAAATTAATTACAATTATTATAACTCTTCTTATTGCATTGAAATTTGATCTTATTAAGAATTTCTTTTCAGGTGAAGAAATTAATAATAAAATAAGATTTTTCCTAGATTATCAAGTCAAATGCGTGCGTAAAAAATGTCCACATTTGAAAAAAAAAACAGATATACATTTTTATTAATATTATTGAGACCTTTTTAAGCCAATTTATATTCGACAGAAAAATTTTTTCCGACTAATATATGATGCAAAAAATATGTAAAATTATATTTAATCTTACTTTCTTTTATCTATGCACTTTTGCAATTCAACAAAGAACAAAAGAATGGTCGATTCGATAGTGTCACGAAAATAGAACTAGTGTGAACCGGTTTTTCGATGAACGAACAATCACATTCTTCCTTGAATGCGGTGAAACTTTAATCATGTTACATTCGATGCAAAAATTAATATTAATATAATTAACGCGTATATTATAGACTCTATTTTTATGACGAATCAAAGTCCATGTTATAATTATAATTGATATAAATAATGACGATATAAATAAATTATATCATTATTATATGGGATATTTAATATATTAATATATATTATATATATATTAATATATATATTATTTGTATTAATATATATTATATAATTAATATATATTACATAATAATTATTATAGAGGAACCGCATCCTAGCAAGGACTGTCCACGCGCAAACGGCATCTTCAGCCACGAGGATCCGACCTCGTGCGATCGCTTCGTTAACTGCATCGATGGAGTAGCGCAGACAGTACCCTGCCCACCCGGTCTGATCTATGAGTCCAAAATGTCAAGCTGTGTCTGGCCGGTAGACGCCACTCGCTTGTGCGAGAACGTGAAACGCGACGTCCTGGATGACGGTTTCGTCTGTCCGGACGGCGACGTCGCCGGACCGTCTGGCAGGATTCTGCCGCATCCCACGTATCCACATCCCGAGGATTGCGCCAAATTCTACATCTGCAAGAATGGTGTGGTGCCGCAGAAGGGTCAATGCGAACCCGGCACTGTGTATAACGAGGAGATCTTCAGGTGCACCGATCCGGAAAACGTGCAAGGATGGTAAGTGTACCTTTCTTTTTTTCTCCTTTTTTTCTTTTTTTTTTTAATTGCCCTCTCCTCTTTCTTGATTCTCGATTTTAATCTTGGAACACTTTTTTGCACGATTATGACAAACATTGCTTATATGAGTTTATCTTATGTGTGTCAAACAAAAAAATTATGTAGATATACAATTCATTAAAAAATATGTAGATATACAATTCATTAAAAAATAAACAATTTGAAAAAAATTAAATAAATGTAAAATTTAAAAACTCTAATTTTAGGAAAATAATTTAAAAAATATTAGAAATTTTTAATGAAAAATTAAAGAAATCTAAAATACAAAGAATGACGATGTTAAATTTTTTTAAATATATTTCTCTTCCATTAGTGTTCCAGGAATAATAAATGCTCTGAAAAATTTATAAAAAATTTTTAAAAATTATAATAAATTATAAAAATATAATATTATAATATTATATATTACAAAAAATATAATAAATTCTTATATTAAATTTTATAAAAAATTTATAAAAAATCGATCTCTCTTCTTATTTATTCAATTATTTAATTAAATTATATTCTTATAAGAATTTATTATATTTTTTATTAACTATAAACTCACTAATTCTTTTCAATCATTATTTATTTTTAGAAAAAGAATTAATTTTATAATTTTAATTTCCATCTCTTTCGATTTCGAAAAGAATACTGAATTATCTTTTATAATGAAATGCAATTCAACATTTCAGCGAGGATTATTACAAGCGGAAGAACTGAACGAGAGATGGCGTCATAATTAATTGCAGCTACATGTGTAACGATCATCCTTTTAAATGGACAATAAATGCGTGTGATATGCACGATTACGTAAAAGTCGCCACGTGGTCTCCGCGAGAGCGAACGTGCTTTCGTCCTCTGTCCGCGACATATACTACCCCCTTTCTCCTTTTACGTAAACGAATTTACCTTTGGAAAATCCGTACGTATATACTTATATACATTACAACTTTGTAATCGTCGGTCGCTAACCCACGAAAAGAAAACGTAGACGAAAAGAAAATATCGCAAACTTGTGTTAGATAAACCCTTCGCTTTTGAACCGGTCCAATTTTATGTAATTAACAAATACATGTGCGCCAAGTAGAATTTTATTGTAAAAAGACGCACACACATAAACTTGCAATTCCGCAATTAAATAACTCAAGAAACCAGATTATTTATTATGTTTTAATCGAAAATATATTTTAAGTTTTTTTCTCATTACTTCTATCCTGATTGCGATGTTCTAGATAATATCAATTTTATTTATATAATATTATATGAATTACATTTCAATTATATTTATGTGTTTTGTACACAAGATGCTACCGAAATTGACTTATATATTTCTTAATAAATTTGGAAATTATATTGTGCTAACAAGAATTTGACAATAATTTTAATTAATTTTTTATTGATTATTTTTTCCTATTTAATTTTACCAAAATTATGTAAAAAAATAAAATTAAAAATATATTTAAAAATATGAAATCTATATCTAAAGTTTCACAAATATAAAAAATTATATAAAATAGGAAGGTAAAACAATCGATCATGACAATGAATGCCAACGTGATGATTATATTATTTATTTTAAATCCTAAAAAAATCCTAAAAAAAATATTTTAAAAAATTATTCGAATTTTGTAATAAAATATTTAAAAGTTTAAAATATTTTAATATATTTTGTAGTGAATATAATAATTATTCAATTTATTTATTTAATAAGTATATTAAATTATTTAAATAATATAAAATATATGAAAAAGATATGTAAAATAAAGAAAATTAATCAAAATATTATCAAAAATATTACAAATTAATGATTGAAAAATATTATATATTTTTAGAATTGTTAAAATTAAAAGAGAAGCGACAAGAAATATTTTATTTAAATAATCAACCAAAAAATTCAAATGCACTTATTAGACAGATTGAATTAAGTTTTTCATAATAAAATGCATCTTATATATTATTCTACGTTTGTATCGTATAGCTTAAATCATTAATATTTATCGCGTGTTACAATGAACGTGACTTTCTCTCTGACATGAGAGATTGGACGTCAAAAATCTCCTCACCCCACAATGTTCCAGAATGCATCGCGAAATGCGTTCGCGAAATCGCATCTCTTTGAATACATTTCGACCGGATTTCACTTCGGTGAATCAAATGTCAGCGTCAGAATTAGTTAACCCATTCGTTGTAAAGTTGCATTACATCTCAAGTTATGACATCTGATATTATTATACTCTTTTAGCTGCTTTGATAATATATTTCTTTAATTCTCCTTATATTTTATTAACGAATATATCTTTAAATGCCAAAATACAGGACAAATTGCAATATTTCGCGATTCGGCGGTATATAATAAGACAACATGCCACGGTTTTCCTAGCTAGCAGACAATTTCTCCTCTCTTCTTATCCGCCTGATAGCAACCTTTCTCTTTACGTAATCCACGATGCGCTCGACAAGATATTCCTCAACTAATAATTTGTTCTTAGTTCGTGGAGCAATAAACCCATTTGAAATAAATCTCAAACTACTCATACTTTCTATAGTATTTTCATAAAATATGAGAAACTAAATAAAACAGAACTTAATTAAAACAAAATATTTTTTTCTTTTTTAAGATATTTTAAATTAATGGAATAAAGCAAGATATCATATATTATACTTAAAATAAGATGAAGTACATGCTGCTACTCTTCCAGCATGTTTGCTGCTACTATATTTTGAATAATTTGTTAATAGAAAGTCTCTAATTGTCACTGAAATTATTAACTATCAATATAACGTGTTCGCTCTGAATGTCTGATCGATCTACCGATCTGTCTGGTTCGCCTCGACTGCTTTCACTATCTGGTCCCTCCTCTCTGGGACCAGTGTGATGGGTCTTGCGTAAGGCCAGTTAAGACCCCGAGGGCCTCGCTAACATACCTCGGTGTTCACAGGAAATCACGTGTTCGCACCACGATAATAATATATAACGCCTCTGCCTGCTCTGCATACACGTTTTGCTTAGACGATGACACGTGTTACAGTGCACTTAGAAGAGAGTGTATATTACACTCTACAACCAACGATATCATGGGTTACAAGAAAATTGTATCTTTAAACGCGACATTAAACGTTAAGTGCAACATATCCTCGCTAAATTATTATGCGAGAAACTTTTTTTTGATACAGAATTTGTGTTTTTTAAAGTGTCGTGTGTTCAAAAGAAATTTGAAAAAATTTAAAGATATTTTTTTTTCTATTTTTTAATTATAATAATTTCTGTAAACTATAATAAAAATATATTTATTTAATAATATAATATCTAATAATATTTAATAAAATATTTTTATTTATAAATATGACAATTATTTTTATTGAAATATTATTAATGATAATTATAATTATGTAATATTATTAATGACAATTATTGAGGCCGAAATAAAAGCTTCATTGTGATTATAGTTTATTAATTAGCAGAATCCTTAATCATTAATCGAGTAATATCTTTCAAGTACATCTGTTATAATTGCATAAACGTGTGATTCCTTGAATTGCGCAGTTGATGCGAAGCGCGTCGAAAGATAATCATTCTACTTGCACAGCCATTCTCTTCACTGGGAATGCTGAAGTGTTACGCGATATTAAGTATGCGGAAAAATAATAAGCGCACTTGTGCAATATAATTGTTGCAGATCATACGCGTTCGAGATTTGCATCCTTAGGCATTTCGAGAGGTGCAAATTGCAAAAGAATTGCGCTTCGACATCAACATCATTTATTCATGTACGATGAATCACGATAATCGCGAGAGATTAGAGGACTGATAGACTCTGAAACGAGCCTCTCTCGAAGCATCTTTCTGAAGCTAAAGAAATAGTCTTCATTTCTTTGTACAATCGTCCTTACGCAAGATATAGAAGAGAATGTTTAGCTTTTTAAACATAGGTTTTTTTTCTAGGAAAATTATAGAGTGTCTATTATAATTATAGTAGAATTAATTAATTATTGTATATATATACATATATTAGAATTAAATTATATTTTCTCGATTTTTATTCGAGTTGCACATTTGCTTTAAATTCAGATTCTATTAAACTGAAAGGAGAATAAAATTAATTTTATGACACATTTTAAAAATAAACGATGCGATAAATTTTCCTCTCGCACTCCTAATATTCTTGCAAAATTTGCTCGCGAATAAAATTCAAATAAACAAATCCTATATATTTTAAAAAATTTCTTTCCCCCGAGTAATAATTTTCATAATTTATCGATTTCAAAAGATGTTGCTACCGAAGAATGCAATTCCCTGTAATTCCCAGACAATTCGTTAAGCACGATGCCGTCGACAGACACGTAGGCAAGTCAGGGACATGACAGGGGGGACATCCTGGTGGGGTTCGGCGAAGTCGCGGTGAAGGGAGTGAAGGGAGACGATACACCGTCTCCGAGACATACGGAGACCGACGCCTAAAGTGCGCACCAATCGCCAACATCAGTAGTCAGAGACAGTCAAGCCGACGAGTTTGCCGGAAGAAGATGAGCTATCCGAGGAGCGTGACGGTGCCGTTGCTCCTGGCGATCCTGGCACGTGGTAAGTCCACCACCAGCATCCGAAGGCGAAGGTTCACCTTCACCTCGTCCCACGCACCTTACGTCCTGATGCCACGCACATCTCCGCCACGAGATGCGCTCCTCTTCTTCCCCTGTGCATCGAAGACTGCCTCTCTACAGGCGTGAACGATTTCTTTCTCATTGATTCTCAAGGATTGCGACATCACCCACGACCCGCGAAGCTTTCACCGCCGAGACACCATATGTTAAGATCCGCGCGTGTGACATAATGGCGGATATTAAGGGCAATGTGATCGACGAGAAATATGAGACTGTAATTTAAATTTATCGCTTTATTCGCGGAGTAGGATAATGTTTTATTAATTCTTTTTGTTTGGAAAAAGGGTGAATTTTTTTAGAAATATTTGGTATCTTGAGCATCAGATATTAGTTTATCAGATTTTTGGCAATCCATTTTTTAATATAAATTATCATTATTCTGGCAATTTTTATGTATTGCCCGCACTTGGAAAACTTTGAATTTCTCGTAAATCGTTTCTACGTGGCTAAAGTTTACTCTTCCTGTTGCAATATCTCTTTTGCATTTCTAAGTATGCAGAAAGCATGGTACTTGTTATACTTCGTCTCACTTCAACGCGTATTTATAAAAAAAAGTTTGGAGGCTGTCATGCGAATCGAGTTTTTCCAAGTCGAAAACCAAACAGTTCGAACAAATCAAACTTGACCGACGAAATCTCGTCTTTCGTCGACACAAATTTTGTCATCACTCATGGAACAAACCAATGTTATTTCTTTTTAAATCTTGTTATAATTTTATACTTTGCTACATTTATTGATTATATTCTATTTGCATGTTATAATAAAATATATGCAGTTGTTTGCTATTAAAATATGTATTTGCATAAACATTCACAGTTTGATAATTAATATTGAAAATAATATGAGTTATAACAAATTATTTATTTCATATTTTATATTATATAATAATAAAATATGATATAATTTATTATAGCATTATATATATATATATATATATATATATATATATATATATGAAATAAATAATTTGTTATATAATATAACACGATATATAATATAAAAATATTGATATCAATCAAAAGAATATTAATATTATCCAAATTATTATTTAAAAAAGTGAAAGTTTACTATTAATTGAAAATCATTTGTCTTTTTTTATTACGCAAAAACATTTTTTTTATTTTGCAGCTCAGGGCGTCACTTTATTCAATGCCCCATCATGTCCTGATCCTTACGGGATTCATGCTTATGCTCATCCTGAGGACTGCGGAGCCTTTTTCCTGTGCACAAATGGTACCTTAAGCTACGAATATTGCGAAAACGGACTTCTGTTTGATGGACATGGCAATATTCACAATCACTGCAATTATAATTGGGCTGTCGATTGCGGTAATCGCAAGGTCGACTGTAAGTATCACGCATTCTCGATTCGTTATTTATTAATAATTCTTAAATTCTCCTTCATTTGAGATAAAAATAATGATGAAAAATGTTAATAATAATACTAAATAAAAAATATTTTGAAAAAATTGATACATATAATTTCTGTTATAATTATTATTTTTTTATATCATTAATTTTTCAAATCATATAATTTATCACATATTAAAGTAAAAATCACGCATTACTCGTACGAGAAAATCATTGTTGTGAAAGTAAAAATCACGCAAAATGAACGATTTTGGAGGTGGTTTAGTGGGTCACGTTAACGTCAATCATCATAATTTCGCTCTTGAGCAAATCTTTTTAAATTGCTTATCTCTCAATCAGTTCAACATTTCAATGTAATTGCGCAACTTTTCAATTTTCAATTTTATATATTTTAAACTCTCGTATTTTATTTTATGAAAAAACCACCAATAAATTGTATATAAATATTTTGCTGTACGTCATGTATATAAAAGAAAGGCAAGAATTAATTTATTATCTATAATATAAATAAAACAAAATAATGAAGTTATTTAACACGTTAGAAATGATTCTAAACTAAAGAAAATTTAAAATCTTGACTTTTATTATTCTAATAAAGAGAAACTTTCTTTTTCTAGGACAAAATACATTTATTTTCAAATTCAACTTGCAACTTTCGATAGAAATGATCTTTTTTGCAGACACGCCTATTGGCAGTCCTGGTTGCGAATATCAGTTCGGAATGTACCCGGGTAGCGATAGCTGCAGCACCAGTTACATCAAGTGCATCTACGGCGAGCCGCATCAGGCCCACTGCGACCCGGGTCTGGTCTACAACGCCAAGACTCACACGTGCGTCTGGCCCGACGAGCTCATCCCCTTCTGCAACCCCGAGGCTATAGTAGGCTTTAAGTGCCCGCATAAGCTGCCCCCCAACAGCCCCGCTGCCAAGTTCTGGCCTTATCCGAGGTAATGTATTAAAATTTAATTATAATTTAATTATACAAAATACACTTACGAGAAATACATAATGAGAATCGGAGATGAAACCGGCGATTAGAGATCGTTGCGCTCCGAGCAAGTATTTTTTTCCTTCTAAACGTTTGTAAATAGAATAGATATATCAGATTAATAGATATATCAGATTTCAACGAATGAATCCTATAAATTTCCATTTACATGTTTTATACGTGCAATATTTTACTACGAGGATATTGTAAAATTCTTTATCTCGATCTTTACCTTTTTCTTTACTTTAATATGAGGAAGATTCGTAGGAAGGAAATACTGCGCGTCACCGAAAGATTGTAAGAGTAAAAGGAGTCAAAGCCGTTAAATGTCAGACCGTTCGCGTTTATGCGTACCTCAATTTAAAAACCGGTCGCCTTCCAAAAGGACTGGGAGAAAAGGAAAGAGACTAAAAGAAGAGAGAGAGAAAGAAGATCGTACTTGAAAAAAGGCCGATGCGTGTTTGATTCAAATATTCAAGTTTTTTGTCAAATATGACAAGTTTTATACGATAATTAACAATAGTAATTAGATGTATTCTGAAGGATATTAGATTTTTCTCGCGATTAAACAGGAATCGAGTGATAATCGTTTCAATTCGATAAAGTGCCATACATTGCTATATATTTTATATTTTTATTTTATTAATTTTCCTTATTTTTTATTTTTATTTTTATGTTTATATTTTTATTTAATAGATTTATTTAATAGATTCAATGGAATGTCCTTTTTATAGGCGAGTGTTTTGTTTAAAATAGAAAAAGCAAGAATATTTTTTTCCTTTAATTTTCTACTATTACTTTCTAAATTTAGAATTGCAAATATATTTAATTATAATCTTTTTAATGCAAGAATAAGTATCTTTTTTATTAATTGAATGTATACATACATGTATACATACATGATTAGAAATTAAGACGTTTTATATTTATTTATTTTTGCGAAACATAAAAATCTTTTTTTGCAATTTTAAGATTCCCTGTACCAGGTGATTGCGGCAGGTTGATCACCTGTGTAGATGGTCATCCGCGACTTCTCACTTGCGGAGATGGAAAACTATTCGATTCGGTGAGCCTAACCTGCCTGGATCCAGATGATGTTCCTCACTGGTTTGTACATTTTGCATTTTTAAAAACAAGATCTTGATTTGTTTCGATTTTTAATTTGAATATTACCGGTCGATTTTCTTAAGAAAATTTCTGATAAAAATTTAAATATTTATTAAAATCGAAATATTGCTAAACATAATTTAATTATTAAAAGGAATGTAAAAAAATCTAGAAAAATATCTTAATTTTTTAAAGTATATTTTTTCTCTTTTCAGTGCTAACAGTGTTTGAGAATAAAACGTTCCTGATAATCACTTGGCATCTTAAATCAGCAAACAACGAAAAGCGACAAACGAAAACCATAACAAAAAACCATACATTTAATGGTAAATTAAAAATTAAAAATTATCATGATAAAATCGTATAATGGAATATAATATTAACTCGAGACTTTTATATTCAAAATTGAAATGTGTACAAAATAGAAATTCTATTGCAAAACTAATTAATTAACAAATTATTTAATTATTATTAATTGCAAAAAATTGAATTATTATAGAACAAGATTGATTTTTCGGAATTGATTAAAAATAAGAAAAAAAAAATTTAATTATATAAAAAGATTATAAAAACATAAATCATGAAACATTATTTATTAATTAGATCTATTTTTATACACAACAAAATCAGAAAAAAATATTTAAAAAACTAACAAGGTGAGATAAAAAATAAAAATTTCTGCTAAATTTTATCTTTGAGCGATAGATGATAAGAAATGTATTATTATTAATAATAATTAGTAAAATGTATTATTATTAATAATAAACATTTATATATAAAGAAGATTAATTGCACGTAAAGTGTAAAAGAGGACAAATACGATATGTAGTACATATAGTAAATAATACAATATGTAAGACATATATGATATGTGTATTTATGATAAATAGAACAATGTACAGCCAGGCAACTTGTTGAATAAAATCTGAACATGCGTATAAAAAATATACAACGTATACTTTATTCCAATCAATCTATATGTAAATGATACAAGTCTTACGATTACGCGAGAGTGAAAGCGAGAGGGGGAAGAGTGAGGAAAAGATATTTACATTTCGACCAATGTGACAGAATGCAAATAGTGAACGATTCTGGGACGAAAAAACAATATTCTTAATTAACGTTATTATTAATACGAATATTAAACGTTACTATTAATATGGTTATTAATAATAATACGAATCTCTCTGTTCTTGGGAGAGTTTTTGATCGGTCAAAAACATGGATCGATCGATATCGACGAATCTTGGTCTTTAGATGTTCTATGATAGTACTTATCAAGTTTAATATTGTTTCCTGCATATTTATGCATATTTTATTATTTCTCATAAAATATGTATATATGATCCTCAAGACAATTATATATGTCCTTTGGAATTTTTAAGATCAGTTTTCATTTAATTAACTTATATTTCAATTAACTTACATATTTTCGAAAACTTTCACAATAAACTTAAACAGCTAAATTTTATTCGATTTCTCGAAAATTCTTTTTAAGTTATTTCATTTACCTCAAATTAATCATTTATTTCAAATTAATAATGATTTAATTAATTAATTCAAGTACACATATTTTGATTGCAAAATAATTGTTTTCTTCTTCATAAAAAGAGAGAATTGTGAAAAGAATTGAAACATAATTATAATAGTTACTTCACTCAAACTTTTGCTCGAATTTACCCTTCGAAATAATCGAAAATTAATTCTTTATGTCAAAGAAAAATCGAAAAAAAAAATTAAAACTTTTATTTGCTACAAAAGAGGATAAAACTTTCTCGATATTCTCAAAGAATCGCGGAACATAAACTTCTCCAACATCAAGAAAATCTGCAGACCTCTAAAAATCGAATTCGATCCAACCAATAGATTCTAAAATAATAGAATTACAGGAGGGAGGGAAAGATCTGGAGAGAACTTCTCGAGTTCCCCCAATCGATCGACGAGCTCGATCTCCGGGATCTCGCTCGTCGCAAGGGATCTTCTGGTTTCCTTCGTCCTTCCTAGTGGTTGGACGTGATCCGAATAATTCAGATCAAGGTCTTAATTTCGGGCGCGAGCGCGCAGCGCTTGAATCGGCAACGCGCCTGCCGGCAGAGGTGGCACGCCAGGTGGCAGATTCTCCTCCTCGGGTTCCTGCTGCTCGTTGCGACCCTCGGACAATTCGCCCTCGGTGGGCGGCGGCGTCGTAGGAACGTCGCAGTCCTCCGTTGGCGGCACCACGCACCTCAGCGACCGCTTGTCGAAGACCAACATGGCTGGGCAGCGCTGTAACCGAGGGTAGCCACCCTGGCACTGCCAGTAGCGGTTGCACGACTTGCCGAGGGGCACGTTGCCGTTGGCGTCGTCGTTGCAAAGAGCTGTAAGCAGGCTACTTCTTATGACGAGCTCAACTAGACATATCTCTAGCCTTCGAGAGGTTCATAGTAAATCATCGTGATAATAAGACATATTGTGTTGTTTATAGATATATTAAAATTTCCAGCTCCGATGATATTTTGTGCTCAAAATTCGAGATAAAGTATTTTAAACATATGCATTTTGAGATTGCGAACTCTCATCAAGCGATTTCTTGAAGAAACTCTTGAAGAAGGTAGTCAACGAGTGAAAGTTGAATGAGAACTTTCGTGCGAATTCGATTCACTAATGGATGGACTGAAATTTAATTATGCAGGTAAACACGCATCTATATTCATGGATTTCTTTTCCTTGAAGAAGTAGGAAATTATTGTTACGTTACTTCTGAAACTTTCAAAATATCCGGATTTTTTAATTAATTATTAATCGAATATCATTTTAATATAGAGAATGTTTAACATTGTATGTTTGTGCAAAATACAATTTAAATTGAAATTAATTAAAATTAATTTAATTAAATTAATTTAAATTAAAATTAATTCATGGCAAATGTTTTAAATAATTCTTTTTTTTAATCTTTTTTCTCTTAAAATTCATTTTAAAATATTGTAAAAAATATTCAGTGTCTAATAAAAAAAATTATAGAATTATAAAATTATAGAATTTTCCCTCACGTTTCAATTTTCAAAAAGAAATACAATCTCGCATATGATCGATGTATCGGGCAACATGTAACATTAAAGATCAAAGAGTTAGCGCGACGCGAATTAATAATAAACATTTCATCTGGAATTCTGAAGGTGAGAAGAAAGGCGTGATGAGAATTCATTTGAAATGCTAATTAAATGCCTCGCCCCTTTTTCCTGCAAGTACTGGCGCTTGGAAGAGATCGAAGAGCAGACACGAGGAAACGCAAGTCTTGTTCGTCCACTTTCGAAAGTGAAAATAATCGAAGCCGTGTTTCTTGGATTAAATCTACCTTAGAGAGATCGAAGATACTATGAACCTCTCGCATCTCTTCAGAGATGCTTCAGTTAAATTCAAGCCGAATCTAGGAGTCAATTCCGGTCGAGAATGGATAGAAGAGATTACAAGAAATCCAATCAAGAGCTCAAAGTGACGATGACGACAATGAAAATTAATTACTGTTTGCGAAATTTCTCAAAATTTTATAATTCCCAAGTAATCTCTGACTCAGCTGATCTCTGATCAGCTCTAATAAACCTCGATTAATTCCCTAATAAAATCCACTGCCATCTGACGATAGTACTCACGATGCTTCTGACATCCCTCGACGTTTTCGGGCCAGTCGCAAGACCTGGCTCTCTCGTTGTAAAGCAGACCGCCTATGCAGAGCTGTTCGGTGGCGGTGCCGTTCCAGCAGGTCCAGTACCTGGTGCAGGAGGTCTCGTGGCCGAAGATACCGTACAGCCAGTCGCAATGCTCGGTCGGGATCGGCGGATTAGCTTGGCGTTTACCGTCACAGTAGTTCGCCCTCCAGGGATAATCGCATCCTTCAGTGACACCGCGATGCTTGCCAGCGAACACGAGACCGTTCGGACAATCGAACAATTCTGGCCGACCGCTCACACATTCCCAATAGCGATCGCAATACTCGATGTCGCCCACCACCCGCGACTTGGTCTGGCATGGATCTTCCTGCTGCTGCTTCTGGCCCAGAGAGCCTGAAAGCGCGAAAACGTGAACGCTCATTCTTCCATTTATCCTGGTTATCCTTCATTTCTCTTGGGATAGGATCCTCCAGAATGATTGGGACGATAAATAAGGAGGTAAGGAAGATTGTTCAGGGAAATTAGGACAATTCTTCCTGACCGCTGAATTTTTTTGTGCGCAGCAGATTATTCTTTTTCTTAAATATAAGTATCCTTAAGTAGCACCTAATTAAGAACGATGATTAGGCGATTATTAAGAAGATTTCTTCTATTGCTTTTCTGCTTTCTTGACGCTAATCGAACTAGAATACTAATTATCTGGAAGTTTATTACGAGCTTTGCTGGCAATTTATCGCGTCATTAACTTCTCCTAATCCGCGTTAACTATTTTTCCCTCTCGTTCGCGTTTGAATGAACTGCGATTACGAAATATCAGAGTATCGACGTATCGAAATTGTAATTTTTACCTGCGCATGTTCTTGTCGAAGGACATTGAATGGCGACGCGAATATCAAGGATATGCTTGTGTATCATTGATTCTAGTCACGCGTGCAATTTCGGAATCTTGACATTGTAATAAATCGAAATCTGTCGAATCAATTTGAAAGTCACGATGACGTGAAATGATCCTATCCTTGTACGCGTGGATTTAAATCGCTGTTCAAGGATAATCAATACGAAATACTTAGAACGCATAATCTTCTTCCGCGTCATATGGAAATATGTTTAATGTTCTTAACAAGTGTGACGTCATGAAATTCTTTCACCGATTAGCTAGTAATTATGCGCGACTTCCTTGCACAAGGTTGTAAACATCGAAAGTGGAAAGTTGAGACCAGACGCCGATGACGTCGCCCTTTCTTGTTCGAGATATCGTTATTCTAAAGATATTTATCAACATTGTTTAACGATCTCATTTTATATCGGAATGTGTGCAAAATTGTTTTAGAAGATTAAAAGGAATATTTTATGACTTAAATAAGCATTTTAAACGATTCACTATTTTTCGTGAATGGTGCAAATTATTTAATCAACCTGTAATTTTTTTTCAAAGAAAAATATTCCGAAGACTTCAGAAAGTAATAATTAATCTTCTTTTATTTTACATTTTTATAAAAGAAAAGTTCCAAATAAAATCATCGTTCGACTTTCGTTTGAGAATTCGAAGATATGCATACACTACTGGTACCGGTTTACCATAATGTCCGATCGTTTCGCTAATGATTCGACGGCCCGCGCACGTTCGTCGGAAAAGCAAATAGTAAAATAAGGTGGGAAGCCGACATGAGGCGCGCTCCCAAGACGGCTCTCGAGTGAAAGTGCCTAGCCTTGACTTGCAACCTTCGGGGGCAGTCCTATTCCACACCCCTTTGCTCTTTCTGGACCTTTCTGGACCTTCGTGAATGCACGAAAGATTCGATCGATTAGCCGATTCATCTAAAGTCATTTTTATTTTACGTCTCAATTAGAAAAATTCGAGTTCAACTTTTATTTTAATTTTTTTAAATTTAATTTTTTTAATTTAATTTAATTTTACTTTATTTTATTTTATTAATTTAATTTAATTTAATTTAATTTAATTTAATTTTTTGTTTATATATATATATATATATATATATATATATAATTTAAATATAATATCTAAATTTAAAATTTTTCAAATTTATCTTTGTGTAAAAATATTTATCATAAAAATGCTTACAATAATTTATTACAAATACATAAAAAAAAGACTGCTATTCATTTTGCTTTGAACACAATGTATGAATTCCTATTGTCTTAATATGATCGATCATGTGTCAAGAATGTTAATCCTATCTCTTTTTTCCCTTCTTGTTCTCTTTTCGAGCAGTACTTGCTTGTACCGCCTGTTTATTCTTGAAAGATTTAATCCGAGAACGGAATAAAGCCCTCACTCTCTTGCTCAACCGCCCCTTTTCGATCTGTGGATCGAGATTGAGATGAAAATAAAATGTCTTCAAAGAGCGACCGACCGAAATCTTCGACAAGCATTATTTCTCGGTGTTCAAAGCGAGATGAGAAGTCACGATTGTATCTTTAAAGTCATTTCGCAAGAGACTTCTAATGACATCACGTCTCAAATTTTTCATTTTCGTTTCAATCTTGATTACATTCTTAAAGTAACTCATATAAAGTAAATCATATGATACTTAAGATACATCATTGTATACGTTACGTTGATATGTTGTGATCTTTGATTATAATAATATTAAAGTTAATGATAAATATGTAGAAATACTATGAGATAGACTTCTCTTTTTTGAATCAACAAAAATTCAGTCAACAAAAATTTTTTTGAATTTGCATAAATGTAGAAATAAAATAGCCAGGATAGATTTCTATCAAACAAATAACAATCTTTATAATGTGTCAGTGATCATGACTTGTATATTATATACTATAAACATGCTTTTATATTACGGGCCTTTATTGGCGAAAAGAGTGCACGCTGTTAGCCAACTGGTCCGAGCGGATAAGGGAAGGAAAGCGAAGCATGATCGATCTCACGATACGGATAATCTCGTGGGGAAGCGAGCTTCGCCCGTCTTGAGAAAGAACGTCTAGAGATTGCGATTTTCCACCGGCAGGAATTGCGTAAAACTATGGCCTTAATTATCAATGGGAATATTGTAATAATTTTTAGGACAGATAAATATAGTATTCGATGACGTAATCGTGTTTAAACAGATATTTTCCTATTATATTTTCTCTATTTAAAATTTCAAATCGCAACTTTTCATAAATTTTTGAGATTTTTAAAATTCTAAAAATTTAATCTTTCTTCTCAAATGGAGTTTAAGAAATTTAAATGTTTTTTTTTAGAAATAAATATATTTTTTAATTTAGGAAAATACATGAGGCCTTTTTATAATTTTAAATTTAAAAAATTTTAAGTTTTGGAAATATTGATGTATAAAAAATGTCTCATAAAATCTTTTTTTTCTATATTTTTATACGTTAATATTTTATGACAATATTATTGTCACAATATTGTATAAATTATCGAGATATCATATATAAATTTTATTTCTCAATATTATTATTTTAAATATATTAAATATATTACACAATATATAAAAAAAAGAGGTAGTTGAAATCGATCAGCACTGGCAAAATTTATTGAGTTAAAAAATCACAATCACGACGTTTCGACCATAGGTTTTGGTCCTTTTCGAGTGAACTACAAAAATGATTTTTTAACTCAATAAATATTGCCAGTGCTGATCGATTTCAACTACCTCTTTTATTTATTTACTGGCGATCTTCAAGATAATTTAAACAATATATAAAATTTTCATTAAAAAATTCTCATTAAATTCTCATTATAAATCAATTATATTGATGACTGTAATGCATTCATTATTTATTAAAAAAATAAAATATTTAAAACACTCAAAGCAGCGATGACCGTGATGTATTCATTATCATTTTATAAATATCATGCACATATAAAATTCTCATTAAATCAGTGATGATGACTGCGATGTACTCATTGATACGATTATCAGGAATTATGCAAATGCCGTCAACGGCCAGTAATAAGAGTCAGTGACCACCCGTAAGGACGCATCTCGCGCACGAGGAGCGAAGAAGAATAAATCCGATTAGTCTCGCGACCGAGACCGGCATGATTAATCGATTTTGCGCGGGCGGTCATCATCACGGTGCCGCAAATAAGGTGGAGACATCCCTGGAACGTTGTCGTAGCGGATTATGCAAGCGAGACGCTTAGTTAACACGCCGCGGTTACTTTCCCTTCCTTTACGACTCCTCGTAAAGAGTAAGTAGTCTGAGCAGTAATGGCTTGGAGGCCGTTATTTCTCGTCAGGAAAACAGGTGTTGCGATTTGCTCCTTCGCGAGGAATCCCGCGAACTAAAACACGAACGAATTATTCAGGAAATCGAAAGATTCACGAGGATTCGACTTTTCAACAGAAGGAATTTTCTATCATAATAATAACCGTTTATCGGTGACTTATCGGTGAGAAGAAGAGCAATGTGATTAAGAGTTCATTGACTTTTAAAAATTACGTGCAGATATTCCAGTTTGGAAAAAATTCCTCTATAATTTTCTCCCTTGAATTTAAAAGGGATGATTTTCTTTTCAGGATAAGAAATTATATCGAAGAATAAAAGATTATAATTGTGATTTGGAAGAATTTAAATCGATATTTTTAAATTACATTGATTTTGCTTAATAATCTCCTTTTCGATGGATTATTTATGAAAATTGTCATTAAATATTTGGAAATTATCATTTGGAAATTAATTGTCATTTAATATTTATTTTTTTCAGATAAATATTTCATCAATAAGCATCATATTATCAGAATTAAAATAGAAAAAATTTCTAGATAGACTTCTTGTCATCAGACTGAATGTATAAATTCATTAAATTAAATGAAAATTGCATTCAGTTTATTTCCAGGAATTTCTTCTCTCTCTCTTTCTGTCTCAACTTCCTTTCCATATTCCTTTCCCTTAATGAATAAATGAGCAAAGCCCGCCTTCTCGACGCTTCCCGAGTAATTCCCGGTAGAACCTGAGGCGAGACCCCACCTTAAATCAGACTTTGCTAAGTGCAATGTTCTTTGATAAAAGCGCAATAAGAGCGCGTTTGTGCTTAAGATCTGCTTCCCCTTTTCTTCCTTATATTCTTTTTATTCTCATTTGATCGATAAATTAAGCTGAGCGGAACATTCGGCGTTCTTCTCGCTATTATACCGCCACTTCCGGAACTGACTAACGTTATTAGCATCGCGTTTTGGCGCCGGCAAACGCGTCGCGAAAGCAAATATGGGAAGCAGGTAGACAAATAAACGACTGAATAAACTTTTCTCCGCGAAGATATTACGCGCGGTGACAACCGATTGGTTTCAAAGTATTAATATCTTCAAATGTCGCCGTAGAAAGTAGAATCTCTTGCGTAAGCTCAACTGAGTTATCGGCGATTATATATTTAAAAGTACTGTCATCAATATCCGTAATCCGTCCGAATCGACAAAGATATTAAAAAAATTACATAAAAAAATATACTTATAATATCAGCTAATATTGTAAGTTTTGTCGAAATGTGACAAACCGAATGACTTTGTACGTAATGAGGAAATGTAGATTAAATGTACGTAATCAAATATTATAAAAAAATTAATAAAATTCTTCTTTTTCACCTGATTGAGAAGAGAAAGTATCGAGAGAACTGAAGATATAAGAATATCTAATTCATGTATATCAATTGAAATGATACTATTTCTTTTCTTCAGTAGAAAATGAGATACTTTGGCATGTTTTTGCATGCTTGAAGATTCAGGCTTTAGAAATTTGAAAGAATAATGAGGCCTATAAGTAGCGTGATTTTGCTATAAAGAGTGTCCATGAATAATTATTTGATTGTAAGAAATCAAAAGAAGGACAGAGAGAAACAGAGAAGCAGAAAGAGAGAGAGAGAGAGAGAGAGAGAGAGAGAGAGAGAGAGAGAGTGCACTGCAGGTTGAGCTACTTTCATATTTTCACTCCTGACATACGAGAGAAAGTTCTCGAGATGTGTGAAACCCGGTGAATGGCCACTATTGTTCTTACGAAGATGCATGTAATAATTACGGAGCAGAAGATCTACTGTTTACTACAGATTCTGCGCCTCGAATGTCGCGAGGGTTGTGCAACGAAAATTGTAATCGAGCTCATTATCCAACTCTCAACGATGCTATTCTTCTCTATCAGATCACTAATTACGTAATTTCAACGTGTGAAATTAATCAAAATTCAAGAAAGGTAAAGTTTCCTTTACTATCGCGAATAATTTAATTTATATAATAAAATATAATTTCTTGAATATAGTAATCTTTATATTTTTAAAGTAATTTATTTATTATTATAATTTTTATAAAATTATAATTATAAAAATTATAAAATTAATAATAATAAAAATTTGTAAAATTAATAATAAATTATATAATTTTATCTCCCATAGAATAAGTGTACATTTTCAAATTTCTTCTACTTTCTCTCTACCATAAAAGTTAATGAATAATTATACAACATTTATACTATAATTAAATGGAATCTTATGCGTGATGATAATAACATAGCTAAAAACAAAATAATAATTATAAAAAATAAACGACCATGTTTATCGTTGGTTATTGAAGTCTCATTAAAATGAATTCATTCATTTCAAAACTGAATAGATCGCTTTTATGAATCATCGTCGATTTCGCAAAGGACACGAGAGGATCGCTTTAATTGATACAATGTCCACAGTCATTGCAAAGATTTATGAAGGAAAGTAGAACGAACCGTACGATTTTTCAGTTTCACTATGAATAACGACAGCTGCGAGGAATTTCACCGTTTTCATTCTCGCACCTCGCTCGTTCAATTCGATTCGATTTTTTATCAAACGACTCTTATTATTTATAAATATAACCGCATGCATGCCGATCTCGAAAGTGAAAGTCGAATGATCGCTAGATCAAATCAAGATCAAAGATGATAAATTCTATTTCTCTTTAATTTAATTCAATTGAATAATATTATTAAATATTTTTTATTAATATTCAAATCGAAATAAGATGAATAATATATTAATTGATGAAAAATAATATAATTGAATACTTTATTAATATTATCGAAATAGGAAATATAATTTTATTTATACCTATAATTCATAACTTATTATAAATTTTATAAATGTTTTTTGATAAAAATTTGTGATTTTTGGAAAGCCTCTCATTATCAAAATAAATTATTAAATATAATCAATTTATTGTTATCAAATAATTATATAATTATTTGTGCATTTAATATAAAAGTTAAATAATATTGTCAAAATTTATTATATTATGTATATATTAATATAAATATTTTATAATTAGAGAAGATAATTATTACAAAATTACTCTTATGGAAAAACATAAATGTTTAATTAAGGATACAGATGTATTTTGCACAAATAATTAAATTATTTTAAAATCCAAGTTTTACTAACAATATTAATACATTATTGAAAAAATAAAACATTATCTTTCTCTCACATCTATCCACTAATAAAAAAACAATTTAGTTATAAAAGAATTAAAAAAAATTTTCACTATCTTTAAAAAAAACAAAAATACATATATTTAATTAAATATATGTATTTCACACAGGTACTAAATATATTTATCAGTGCATTATTATTATTAATTAACATATTGTTATTATTATTAATTATCATATTGTTTTTGCAATAAAATTTGTATAAAAAATTACTAATTCATTTTTTATAAAAATTATCTTATAATATTTCACATCTAAAATTAAAATAATATTAATAAATTATATTGCATATTTATATTAATTTATATTATATATTACCCAGGTAGTCATTAAAAAACTATTAAAGTCTCCATTTTTATTAAATATTAATAAATTTGATGTGATAAGACTACTCATTAAAAATATTAATAAGGGATAACGAAAATATCACAAATGAAAAATATCTAAATAAAAATAAAAATATCTAAATAAAAATTTTTCTAAAAATATATTAACTATATATGCTTGCATATTTAATGTCAAATTAATATAAACATTATCCTGCACAGTCAGTACAATCAATCAATTTCTATAAACTTCAGGAGTGAGATAAGGAAAAATCGAGATGAAGGAGAACCCGAAGAAGAAGAAGAAGAAGAAGAAAAAGAAGAAGAAGAAGAAGAAGAAGACTCACCCTGTGCAGCCAGGAACACTAGGACGAACGAAAATATGTACTGTGACATTCTGAGGAAACGTGCGACCGATTTAACTCGCAATGTGTCAATTCCTTGTAGACGAAATATCCTGATATATGCCTGGAGAGAATATCTCTCTCGTTGTGTGAGAGCCGAGGAAGCTCGGCTGATGAGTTTTCGTGTCGAGACTGCTTACTGGGAGAGGCGTTTGCCCGGTGTCTTATATGAACTCCCCACTCTTCGTCTCTTGCCGATCTCCGGGGCCGCATAGGAAGGCTCTACCTGGAGAACACACCTGGTTTCGTCTATCGACAGTTTTAGCTGATAGCCCGCGATGCTCAATCGATGATAACGTCATGAAACACACCCGTTAGAAAGGATCTTCTTCGCGTGACTCACAGAAAAGGCGACACACATTATAATAATAATATATATACTCTGCGATTTATTACCTACCGAGGAAGGTCATTAGTATGTACCAGAATCGTGCTTAACGCTTTGTTTGCTATGTCAATGGTATGATATTCTTTGGAAATAACGGCACTTGCATATAAATGATCGATTACCGTTTATTTGCATTGATATTTATCATTCATGATTGAATGAGGCAACAGCTTTAATCATATCGAAATATTCTTTATTTTTAAGGAAATATAAATATATTTTCTACATGATTGCTTCAATATTTATATTAATAAATATATGAGAGTCAATTCAAATTCAATAAAATATTTTATTAATTTGTATGCTAGTCAATATAACTATGTCGTAAAAAAATAATCTTTATTGTGTAAATCGTTTTAGATTCGATAAGAAAGCATTAATGCTAAATTAAGTGACATTAATGACATGATGTATAACATCGTGTTTTTACACATTTGCTACATCATCGTTATTCAGCTTTGAAATTTACATTCTTTCTCAACTTTCCTCTATTCATAGACAAAAGAAATCTTTTTTTGTATTTAATTAAAAATGTATCTAATTCATTAATCTCTATAGGTTTACAAATTTATATTGTATGTTAAGTTATTATTATAATTTAATAATTAAGTCATTAGCTTTCTAATTTGTGAATGATAATGCGTGTAATTTTATTAAAATGAGTGAAAACAACAATTATTATAACAATATAAATAACAATACTTATCATTTTAGAAGCAAATTCTTAAGAGCGTTATGTCGTGTATTTCTAATGATTAACTATTAAAATAAAAAAGTGTAAATTTATAAGCTATGAACTCTCATTATTTGAAAATATAAAAAAGCTCAACGTTCTCCAACTCGAATCTCTTTCATATTAATCAACCGCATTACAAATCGGTATCAATAACTGGCGTGTTTTATAACTGTCTAATTATTCATCATCATGTAAATTTCCTGCGAATAAAACAACAGCACGTTCAACGAAGCAAGACTAATTAAATCGACGAGATTTCAACTTGCAATACGGATTCTTATATGATAAAAGAGGTATTCCGCTATAAAGAAGCTTTCGAAGAGGGGAAGTGAAATTCCGATTCGAGAAAAACGAAATCATCACGAAGAATGGTATAAATTTGATTCGTCAGTTTAAAAAAAAATGTATTCCATAAAAAAATCAACATGGGAGAAAAGTGCATTAAAAAAATGCATAAAAAATTTATTCGTCAGTATAAAAGAGAAGAAAAAAAATTTATATATTATTTTATCATATAAATTTTTTATATATTATTTTATCATATAAATTTATAATATAAATTATTATGTATATATATTTATAATATATATTATTATGTATATATATTTTGAAAAAACAAACAGGGTGGAAAAACTGCAATATAATAATTTAATCCAATTTTAAATTTTATTTTTTAAGATATATAATATTTTATTATAATTTATAATATTAAAAAAATTTTTTTTTAAATTTTATTATTACTATTTCATGTTATATAATTTTACATATTTGTATACTTTTAATACTTTAAAATTATAATTTTAAATTGTTAGCTTGTTTATCAATTAATAGTTCTTTTTAAAGACTTTCTAAACTTCGAACATTAATCAAAAAACCGTCGTCTATTATTATTACAGTTATAATCATCAACATATTGTGAATCGAAGTGCTCGAAAGCATGTAGCGTCTATCATTTCCGTTATCTCAAAGCGCCACCGTTAACCATGATGTTTATTTCGCGTGCATGAGCGACCTCGACGAGGCCTTCACGGTTCTTTCTTTCCCTCTCCGAGTGGTCAGCTTCACGCGATGAAACGGTGAAAATAAAGAAGAAACATTCTCGATGAGTCGCCTGAAATGCCTACTTCTCATACAAAACGTTTCACATCGATATGACACGTTTATATAACAAATAATACATATAATGACACATGTATAATTCTTTTCTTTCGTAGAATACCACCAACGAACAAGATGTAATCTTTAACTTCAAAATGCTTTAATACAGATGACACTATTTTGTTCTGTCTTTTCAGAGGCGAATAATTTATAGAATGTTTTAAAAAATATATATTAATGTTAATAATTATAATATTAAGTATTTAATATTATAATTAATTATAATATAATTATAATACAAGTAGAAAGAAATATATAATAAAGTAAAAATACTTTCTTGCTTGCTATTTTTCACTCGACTCCTCGCGATTCTTTTATGAATTCCTACAAAAGTGCTCCGATCCTGGCCATTAAAAATCCTGATCGTTCGTTGCAACGACATTCCAATTCCGATGGAAATCTATGCCCGAAAGAATTCGACGTGTTTCGAGGACAAATGAATTTTTTTATCAAAATGCTGCTTTATTACAAAGTCGAGATGAAGAAACTTCGCTGTAAGCTAGAGAAATTCTTTCTAAAAATGTCAAGCATTTTTCTCTCATTTCAAAACAACTGAATAATTATATTTCCAATGCTGAATTAAAGCGCATTCACAGAGTGCAGATTAAATTGTTTGAGCTGTAAATAGTGAGAATCTCCTAATTTTAGAAATTAGAAAGCCGCTTAATTAACGCTAAAAAGACGCTCTCTTGGAATGTTAGAATGAAAGTTTTAATGCTGATTGATATCAGAGACAATAGTTTGTTAGATTTCTCATTGAATTATACGAGATGAAAATGTCGCATTAAACAACCGATATTTCCCGGAAGAACCGAAAACACTCGAAACGTCTGGTATAATCTTTCAAGGATTTTCACCGGCTGTTATTATGCAAGCAAAGGCAACGACAAAGAGGACAAAAACGGACGTTTATTGGATAAAATTATCACGATGCTCGGTGGGAATGGTCACAAGAGGAAACGAGACATATAAGAATAAAACAATGGGGCACCCAGTTTCGCAAGTCTCTCGCAATCCCACCCTCGATTCGCAAAGGAAGAGGTCGATCGTATCAAATTAGTCACGATCACGCGGACGTTTGTGTTCTACATCCTATAATTGAACTTTGCAGAACTTTATAAAAAAATAAAAGCAACAATTAAATTAAAAATAAGTATGAAGTATAAAACAAAGTTATATTTAAAAAAAGAACATAAATGAATAAGTAAAATTATGTTACGTACATTCCTCTCTTTTTTTAAATTTAATATTTCATATTTTATCTTATAAAATTTAAAAAGATTTAAATTAGATATAAACTTAAAAAGTATAAAAAAATTATTCAAACATGAAGATCTATGACATGAATTAATAAATTTATATAAAATGCAGATTAATAATAACACGAGTGTACAATGGAACTTATAAATCTTAAATTTTAATGTATATAGTAATAATGTTCAATTTCTTATAGAAATTTTTATAAAAATAAATACCAAGATTGTGTTTAAATTACCAAGAGAACGCCTAAGCAATGGCAAGCCGTGAGCACCAAAGTAAAACCGGTTACATCTTGATAGAGGTTTCATCTAACTAAATTAAAAATAAAAAAGATAGATACATTATTTGTCTATATAATTCACTAATATAATAATACTCGTTATATAAATCTTTTAAAGCTATTTTAAAGCTATTTTAGCCTATTAAGCATTAATTTAAGATTAATTTAATTTTTTATTTTTATTAAAACAATCTAATCATTCTTCGGATTGAAGATTGCATTTAATTTTACAATTAATCTTCCACTTTAGATAAAAAATGAAAGTTAATATTTAATCTTAAGTGAGAATTAATTTTATATGATATATTATATTCATATAAATCACATGTGTGTTCGCATGTGTGATAGAAATAAAACAGACTAAGATACGTCAATTAAAATTTAACAATTTTAATTTAAAAAATACAAGTTTAAAGATTAATCGCATACTTTGGCCTCATATAAAATTCCGCGACAGTGCAACTTTTTGTAATGCAATCACATTAACACGTTGCGCGTCACCGTAATTGCCTTGATGCAGTAACAGCACGACGCGTGCCAACAAATTTCTATTTTTCTGAACTTGCGTAATAAACGGTATATTGAAGTATGAAAGTCTCAACAGTCATTTCGCGAATATTAAAATTTTGTGCATGATATAAATTGCAAATATAAATTATATTAATGTGTAAAAATTGTAAATTATACTAATGTATTATACTGTATATTATGATACTGTATACTTATTATACTGTATATTATAATTATTTCGAGATATATAATTAAGTACCTAAAATATCTCTTCTCATTGCTTAACTAGATAATCTAAAATAAAAAATATACATTTTGATAAGAAATTTGAGCATAAAAAATTTATAATTTTCTCTTTTTTTATTTATAAAATAATATATATGTAATTTATATTTTACAATATTTTCTTTATTATATTTTTATATATTTTCTTTATTATATAAAGAAAATATTGTATAATAAAATATAAGTTATAAAATTTTATATATATATAAAATTATATTCAATATTTCCTAATATTTTTTAATAGTTAATGTTTTATAATTAAATAGCAATAAAAAATTTAACAAAAATATTTTTTTAACATTTTTGAATATCATGATATGTATATCTTTGATATTAAGTTTTAAAGAAAGTTTAAGAATATATGCGTTCCATAATCAAATATCACAAAGATTAAAACCTTGTTTATATATATATATATAATGCGGACACTTGCTATGAACACGCAGAATTACGAAACGTGCTGCGCGTAGAGAAGTTACATGTAATCATGTAAAGTGTTCTAGGTGTCTTGGCGAGAAAGTAATTAACGAGGAAATCGAAGTCTCGTGCTTTCTAATATTTTTAATTGAGACACGGTTAATTTTTTCGTTTCGGTAAAACACTTTATATATATCAAGCGATTATGTAAAATACCTAACAGATGATTAACTAGATGAAATGTCAGAACTAAAAATTACTTTCCAAAATGTTAAATTATGCTTTTATATATTT